TCATCAAATGCAACAGCGACCACAGGAGGACTAAATGGTAGGCCGTGGCGGTGTATTCGGTTAGCGCTGCAGGTTGTTGCGACGGTTGGGATTGCAGTCATTATTGATCACATGAAATTTGCTTGCTTGCACTTGACTGGCATTTTACCAGGGTAATATTGCTTGCCGTTGTGGGTGTTGCCGCTGACGTGAATTGAATGCATGACTGAGTTGCTCAAATCATGTCGGAACAAGTCGTACAGACGTACATTACTTGGACCCATGGAGCGCAGCCGACGTGGTTACAGTTTCACGGACCTGGAGCCCTGCTTGACAGACCCATTCGGCAGACTACGTCACCTCCGCCCCCACCAAGTTTCCCACTGCTTCTTCCACCTCCGCCTCCTCCACCGCCACCACCACCGGTGATTCTACACCCACAGTTTATGCCCTCAGTACGGAGCCCCTCGATCTCAGCTCCTCGCGGACAATCCTGCCCTGCCACATCGAAATCGCAGCGCACACGCCGCTCGATCTACAGCACTGACAATTCCCGTGATGAAGAGCTACGCAGTCCAGGGCGTTCATCCAAACGATCTCGGACAGCATCCGCTTCTGCACCGCGGAGATCTCGGCGGCCCTTTACCGTGTTCCCCTCCAAACGTGCTGACCGTCCATCGCTGTCCCCATCGGCAAATTGCAAGCATTACTGTCATGCCTTCCTGCGCCATGGGCGGAAATGTCTTTCCCCTTGTGCTCGTAGACGACCAGGACATTATCATTGCAGGTGTGCGCGGCATCAACGGCGGTGAAGCTTAGGCGTCGTATAAGTCGTATATTACAAACCTCGCTGCTGTGTCTCACCTTGAGTTTGAAAAGTTGCCTTGCATTGCTTTGGTTGACACTTCAGCTGCGCGCGGTTGTCATTGCATGTGTGTCTTCGCCGCAGATTTTCGATTGCTTTTAGCGGCCGCGCGATAGCCTGTCTTGCCGCTATGAACCCTCAATATTTCGAGTACCAGATCGAGAGAGGAGTGGAATGGATTCGAATTTACTCACCGGGCACGTGGCGACCCGTTCCCGATGATGCTCCAGTGCTCGCCCCGGTCTACGCTTCCACGTATCGGGAGTGGCGCAGGTCATATCGCTTCCAAGTGTACTGGTCCGAAGACAGCACCGGAGGAACAACAGCGGATCCCATTGTCACGCCCAGTTCGTATGTGTCCTACCACGTGTGGGAGTACCGAGACTGGCAAACACGAGGGTATCAACGACTTGGAGCTCCTTTACCAGCCATTGGACTCGCGATGCTCGTGAATGCAGACGCCAATTCCTCGGTGGACTCATCGGTTCCGGATGGGGCGTGGCGAGAGCCGTCACCACCACCATTCTATGATCCTTGGAACGATTCGGAGTGATACTTGAGCAACATGTCGGATAAAATGACGCGGTTGTGCTTGCTTTGTGTGCGATTCCATGTTGAGTTGTCTTGCTTGGTGTTGTGCGTTCCGTCTCCAGTTGTTCGCCGCTTTCATTTGACTCTGAGCGGTTTGCCTGGTTGATATGTTCAATTGTACAATGTATAGCGCAGCACGATGGGTCCTGCCTCGCTACTTTGACTACGACATCGTCAATGGCCCCGCGAATACGAGTGTAGAATGGATTCGGATCTATGTACCGGGTCCGTGGCATCCAGTCGCCGAGAACACCTTGGGACCAGCCCCGGATGACTCAACCACCTATCGGGAATGGCGCAAGGTTTACCACTTCGAAGTGTATTGGCCGAGGGATAGCACAGGCGGCACCAATACAGGTGCTGTTTCGCAGCCGGTATCTTATGCATCCTTCTATACTTGGCATTATAGAGACTGGGTCACCAGGGGATACCAACGGCTGGGTCGCCCACACCCTAGCATTGCGCGGCCAGTTTTCGCTTCGGGCGCACCGGACCTCATGTACGCTGGATTGACCTCTTCATCGGCATCCTCCAACTCGGATGGTGGCTGATGCTCGTCCTCGCCTTCCTGAGGAGTCTGTTCAGTTCAATTCGATTCGGGAGATTGACTTCGATACCGGAGCCGTGCATTGCTGCAAAAGTGATTTCTTGCACTGTAGTAGTTGTGTCTCTTTCAGTAATTGTTGTCTGCAGCCGTACCTATCAATTTGTCTTTCCGGGTTTGCGTTGTCATGCCGTGGCTGGAATGGTCCGGATCCTCAACAACCAGATGCCCAGTGGGTCAAGATCTTTCATCCGGGATCATGGACTCCACATGAAGAACATGATGCTCCACCTCCACCGCACACGTATAGAGAGTGGAGGGAGTTCTATGCTCCCAACCCGGACCAAGACGGTGAGCAGCTCAATGTCACCATGTGGTACAAAAGAGACTGGGCCACAGAGGGCTATCGGAGAGTCGCTGCCCCTCAAGCTGGTCATGACTTTGATTCTATGTCTTTTCCTGATCATCACAGCGTGGCCACGCAATCCGCGGCATTGAGTATGTCACCGCAGATGTTAGAAGCGATCCTTAGATCCTCGGATGCGGCGGATTTCTCTACCGAAGAACTGACTCGTCTCCAAGAGGGGATTTCTCAACAACTGACAGCTCGCGCACGTCACGCTTCCCAACTTCATCAACCTGTACGTGCATCACGTGGAATCACACCATCGGAGACTGTTGGGGTCTCCGACCCATACCGGCCTGTTAATCCTCCCGACAGCTGCAAAGCCAAGGCGAGACCTATCTTCGAGCTAAATGAGGACTAGACGCACGCGAGTGGGGTAGCATACAAAATAAGGGTGGTTTCCACACTTGCATTACCTTGCTTGGTTGTTGCTTGTACATGGTTGTGCATGGTGCCTGTTCCTCTATCAGCTGGATCGGAGCCCGCGATACGCCTTGCCTCTTACTTCGACATGGACATCGAGGATTCGAAGCAGCACCCATGGCTCGAATACTCGGTCTGGCAGGATCAGGAGTGGGTGCGGATCTACACTGCAGGACAGCCTCAGCGATGGCACCACGGAGAAACTGTACCTGATCTACCAGACAATTCTTTTCGGGAATGGCAGCGGGTGACTGATCCCAATGGGCGCACTGGTGAGCACGGTCAGGCATGGACCATCCGCGACTGGCAGCATCAGGGATACCAGCGCATTCTGTCTCGAATGGAGTCCTTCACAACTCATCATTCGCATGATCAATCTCTTGGTGAAGTTCGGAATTCCGATGCCATTCCAGTTGAGGAGACGTTCACCTATGCTACTCCGTTTTCTCATGGTGATCGCTCGACTGCTTCACAACTCGCTTCAGTCCTCTATGGCGACACTCGTAATGCTCAACGTGGTGATCTCTCGTTCCCGTCTTCTGAGCGGTTTAGGGCTGTTTCTCGTTCCCCTCGCCGCGGTGGATTTTTTGGTCAACGATAGGGACACGGGGTTGAGCATGTGATCTTCCTGCGGAAAAGGAGACTTCTCGCCCCTCATTGAGGGGCGTGTGTGTGCGGAGTGACAGAATGCCCTGTCACCACCCTTTCGGTTTCTCAGCAGGGGGGTCACCCGCAGTCACGACCGGTGACCCAACGAAGAGGGTCGTGACCTGCGCTGATATCTGACCTGATCAGTCAGACGTACCTGCCGAGATGGTTGTGTTGTTCTGAATGTCCTTTTGGTCCCCCCCTGAACTGCCGTTGCTTCTGTGTGTCCCTGTTAAAGTAACTACAGGGAAGCCAAGCGTTATGCGAGTCGAACCTCATCATACTCGAGACTTATCAGTTGTACTCGAGACTCATCAGTTGTACTCGAAAGATTAGCACTCTCCATTTGGAGTTTAAGTGTGTGTTTTTTTTCTAGGGTCGTCGATTTTTTTTGTTTAAATCACTGGGGTATCCCATGGATGTTTTCTCCAAGGGTACCCGTGGATTCTTTTGGGGGTCGCTAGAAAGAAGGAAGCCAGACGGAAGACGCCCAGAAATTGGGGGGGGGGGGGGGGCGGGGTCGATTTTCCAGTTTTGATGGTGGGTGTGGGTCAAAATGAATCCTCAAGGAATTGGACGGCAGGTTTTAGTGCATGTTTCCATTTGCCAGGGCAAGCGATTTTGGGTACCGTTTTTGACCCACAGCCATGTAAACCCAAAAATATCTGGTTGTTTGTAGGAACAGGTTGTTTCCAACAGCTGAAAGCTCTGGGTTCCGGGGTAGCTGTACCACCAGGGCACATTTTCAGTCGTTTGCTTCAGGGAGTGTGGCCCTTCTGATGAAATCTTGGGGGGGATGTGGAAGGGCAATACACTTGAAAAAAGTCGGAAACATCGCACTCCAGCCCAGATAGCAGGCCTTAGAAACCACACCTCTCAAAGTTCAGTGCCCAAAGTAAACAACAGCACCACGTCAATAGAGGACATCTTCCCTCTTCTACAACGCGAAACCCGCGCTGCGAACGTATGTGGGTGTTTTTCGCTAAAGCCTCTCACGGAATTGGTTCAGAATGAACAAACATTCAGAGCCGGGTACCTCAAGCAGCCGTGGACGTGGAATCGATAGTCACTTCTCCTGGCAGATGCCTGTGAATGCTTGTGAGGCATCGGTACCGCGCACCTGGCGCGGAACAACACCCAACCAAACACGCCCCGGTGGGAAGTGGGCGTGACATGACTTTTCTGCTAGCGGTGAAGAGTCTCGAGATTGCTCAGCTGGTTTGATTTTCACGGCTCAGGGGCTGGCAATCAGCCAACGGGTCATTGGCATGAGGAATCACCAAAATGCTGCACGTCAGCTCACCATCCACCATGGTGACCACAAATGGCTAGCGCCAATGTCTTTGCCATGGTTTGCTCCACATGTCAGCTTCAGAAGGAACAGGTGCAATGGATTTTGGAAAACAAGCTTTGCACAATTTATTCTCGTGGCTGGGTAAACCGGCAACCAGTTGGTGCACTCACGCATTGCTGCCATGTGAGGCCAACAAAACATGTCAGGCGGCATGCAAGAGGTGCAGAAAGATGCCACCCGGCCACCCGAGGCTTGATTCCGGAAGATGACTCCACACGACACTCGGTGTCGCCATTGTTCATCCGCAGCTTGCATGCAAAAAGAGTCTTCAGAGTGTGGCCTGATTTGAGGAGTTTGCTCAATCTAGTTACCTTGCGTTCAAAAGGCCTTGATGGAACATATCACCATTGAAACCACCATCACCGTCACCATTGTCGTCACTGTCACCAGCACCACTGTCCTAATGGTCGTCATCATTATACGGTCGTCATCATCATATGTCGTCATCATCATCATTGTTATCACCACCACCGCCACTGGCATCATCGTCGGCGTCATCATCATTCATTTGTTTCTAAGTGCCGGGGTTTGTTCTGGTTGATACTGCTTTGACGGACTCGGCAGCGTAAGACATGAGCCAAGGTCATTGTAGTGGCCATGTGTTTGGGTGAGGATGATGCGGTGCTTTGGGAGGTTGAAGCCTGGAGCCACAATCAAAACTGGCAGGCGAAGGCCGGTAGGGATTGTCCCAACCATACAACATATCTATCTATTTGTTTGTCTATATATATATATATATAATCATTGTACAGGCTTGGCCACCATTTTGATTCTTTGAGTGGTTATGGGTACACCCCTTTGATACCAGGTTGGGTTGGCTGGACACCCTTGACCGCTGATTTGGGATGCATTCAAGGCAGCTAGCACCCCAAAACTCATGTCACAGAACCCGGAAGACGTGGACGATAGCGCGAGGTGTGCTTGAGGGTGTTGAGGGGCGGGGGAGTGACATTATGTTTCTGCTTTCATCACGAGGCTGACAGGCCCGCCGGCTTTCGGATGGGGCCCCTGCTGAACAATGCTGAACAACCATGCCAAACAGCCCTGCTAAAGAGCCATGTTAAATAACCCTGCTATACAACCCTGCTAAAGAACTCTGCCACAAAACCCTGCTAAAGATCCCTGCTAAAGAACCCTGCTAAACAACCATGCTAAAAGATTCCTGCTAAAGAACCCTGCTAAAGAACATGCTAAACAACCCTTCTAAACAACCATGTTAAACAACTCTGGCACAAACGACTGCCAGAATGCTTCCTTGCTTTTGCTTTTGCTCCGTTCGCATCCGAGGCAGCTTGGCGTGCCGCGCTCAGAGCAAGTGAGCTGGTTCTACTCGGTTTTAGGGAGATATAATCTTCCATTTCAGATTTTCTCCTGGACATATTTTTCTTTGTTGCAGCTAACTTAGGCAAATGGAAGAAGCCATGTTGATAGAGCCAAGAGTCAATCGGTTTTGGCCCCTGCTCAAGTGTTTGGAGGCTTCCAGGTGTGAGCCAACGGTCAATATTCGTTATCGGCTGTAGTAAAGGGGATGGAAACCTTCACCAAATCTCCGCGCAAGGTTTGCTCACCAAGTTCCCATGTCCGTCGGGGCACAAGGAACATTGAGATTTAGATGCGGCTGTGCGTGCTGATTGGATTGTAGCGTCTATGATGTCACGTGCTGCGACTTGTACTTTTTACCCAATGGCACCTCCTGTTGGACGTGGTGATTGTGTGGTCAAACTGTGAACAGGCAGTGATTCATGGAGACTACTTTGAATGCTTTGAGGCGCCCTTGAAATCGCAGCAAAGCACCATGAACATCCACACTCCCACCAATTAGCCTGGAACCGCGCGATGTTCGGGACCAAAGGGTCCCTTCAAAAAGGAGAATGGGGCAAACCAGGACCCCTCCCAAACGTCGAACGGTTCCATGTTGATTCCACAAAATTTGAAAGGGGCCAGCGCGCAGGATCGAGCGTGCGCCGAAAGGGCGGATCGAAGGGGCCGGGGAGTGAAGGATGTGTCCAAAGAAAACCCGAAAATGGTTGGTTTCCCTTTTGGTTTCCCTTTGAGCACAAAGGGGTACCCTCAAAAAGACACAATGTGGGTGTGTCTCTTTTAGGGGACACCCCCCCCCCCGCATTTTTTGGGTGTTCTCCTTTTGGTTTAGCGTCAAAAACACCAAAACGAGGTACCCTCAAAACAGGACATTGCCAAGAGTCGCACAAGGTATCACACCATTGCAGTCTTCAACGGCTTCGTGGAAGTTGGGCCTCCTTGGCATGGCTTTGATGGGGTAAGCAGGTGCTGATTTTCGTGTACCCACAGATGGCCGTGGGTCAAAACCAAGGGTACCATTTTGGGGAAGGTGCACCACCCATTTTAGTCCATTTTAGTGGGGATTGGGATGTTCACTGGGGGTACGGGGTTTTAACCCATAGCCAGATGCTGCCAGTCGGTCGGACGGGGAGTTTTTGGTTTCTTTTGTTCTCCTATTTTTGCTGTAATTCTGGACAAAAATTAGGTTCTCCTACTTTTGCTGCACTTCTGACAAAATGAGGCTGTCAGAGAGAGGATCTCCGGCCTTGCAGCAAGTCTCGCGCGACCGAGCCACATCCTTTTTTTAGTTACCAGCTCAGCTGAGCCACAATCAAAACCCGGGTAGATGAAGGTTAGTAAGGGACGATCCCAGCCAGAAATCGTTGCGGCCGCCTTTCTAATTCTTTACATGGCTCTTTTTTGATTGTGACTCAGCTGGTAATTGGAAGGGAGCCATGGAGCTCAGGGCTCCCCTAAGCAGCTACCAGGTGTTCTGCAAAATTTTCGCCTGCCAGTTGCCCAGCTGGCTCGCAAAATGTCCGACCGAGCCGCGTTGACAAAGCTTGGGCAACCTCTGGTTGTGGGTAAAGCTCCAAACCACTTAGAGGGAAGCTGATGATGGGCCAGGGCCATGGTGTTCAACGCCATCGCCGATTTCGACTCCAACGACTTCAGCCTCACAGAGACGAGCCTCAGCAGGCATTTTTTTTTCCGCGAGGGGATCGTTTTTTTCTTATTTTGTCTGTGATGTGTTGAGGGTACCCCTTTTTCTGCGGGCGTTCGCCAAATGAGTGTGGCTCAGAATGATTGGATGCGGACTGCAGCACTTGTTGTATTTTCGACAAGCTCAGGTTTTGTTGGGGGAAACCAAAAGGAGGAAACACTCTTTCGGCGTTTTTTTCTGGGGTTCCTTACAAAAAATACAGACCCATATGTGTGAAGACAGGGACACCACTCCTGTGTTGGTTTCGGGAGAAGGGGAGGCCAGCCCGGAAAGCGTTTCCCTCAATCGCGGGGACAACCCCCTAATTTCCCCATATCACTTTGGGGAAAGCTTCGGTCATTTTGTCTTGGGCTCGAGTTTTCTCAAAAGACAGACATCATTCTTTGCCACATGAATCATTGCTGTTGGAAGGCAGTGCCAACTCTTGTGTCGTGGGATTCGAAACGGAGCTTCGTTGTTCGGAGCAGAGACACGAAGGGCCGCACTCAATTCTCCGAAGAGAAGCCACGTGGAGGGATGGGAACGGATTCGCCTGGGTCGGGTGGTTTCGTTTTTTTTTGGGGGGGACCTCCCAGATGGCTTCGGTTTCCTTTAGAACCGCGCAGGGTGCTCTCAAAACGTCGCCTGGTTGAGTATGTAACTAGAGTGCCCAATTCTGGAGGTGACCCTTTTGGCCGCTAGGTTGATTCATCCGGGGTTAACATAGCGGTGTTCATAGTTTGCCTTGTTGATGGTATATTTGGTCGTCCTTTACAGGGGCAAATGAAAGAGCAGTGCTGATTTGGTGAGTTCCCGGAGCCGACAAACCTTCAAGAACGTGCATGCGGCAAAAGAAGCGTTCCTGGGAGTCTATGGTTTCCTCATCAAGCTTCGAAGAAGCATGTTTCCTTGGCGGGCATTGTGCACTCTTGGGACTTTTTGCTGAGATTTCCCCTCATTTGCAGAGCGTTTCCCTCTGGCTGCAGAGCTTTCCTTTGTGCCAGGCTCCCATCCCCCATTGCTCCCAATATTGGCTCTTTGATGGGAAGAGCGAAGGGTTTGGGGCCGAGAACGAGTGACCTCAAGCGCGAGACTCCCGACTCCCGAGGATGGACACCCTGAAGCGGCAGCTCGGAGTCTGAAGACCAACCAAAATTTGCCTCGGTCAGGGCTAGCAGTAGGGGTTCCAACATGTTGAGACTGACTCACCCAGGTGCATGATGTGATTCTTGATTCTGGCGATTCGGAATCGTGTCAGTTTGTAGTCTTGTCAGATTACAGGCAGTCATGCCTGCTCCAGACTCTGGTGGCGATTTGACCAGCGGACCCAGAAACTCCGGACATTTGGACGTGTTACTTACGCACGAAAGAAAAAGGTAGATCAGCGGCTCGTGGAGTCAGGTCTAACGATTTGGGCTGTTGGCTGCGTCTTTCACCCTCGTGCCTGAACCCACCGTGAAGTTGGCACTCAAACCAATTACCTTTGTCCCAAGCTCCGTCTCGGGGCTCGGCGCACAGCTTTCTTTTGCGGAATGATGACAAGTTGGATCAACCATAACTAAAACGAACTTCTATCTTTGAAGATTGCGCCTCCTACGCCCCACCCCTTAAGGTCGGGGGGATGGTCTTCCAAATTGTGGCGACTGTTTGTGTAGGGGTCCAAGCTCCCCTACGCTGGGATTGGCATGCTGATCATCCAACCAGCTATAGCCACCCTGCTGACCGGGTTCATGAGCCAGAAGCAGTCATTGTTTTCGCTCAGATTCCTCCAATCTCCAACATTACGCAAAAGCAAGTGACCCATTCGCTCACAGAAAGGAAAGCAGATCTCCATGAATCAGGGGTGTCCTTCTTGGTTTAGTTTCGTTTGAAATAGATGGGTTCCACTGGTTTCTCCAGCCAGCGGGCCTTGAACATGGATTCGCGTCGATGTGTTTTGGGTAGTAGCCTTGGTTGGGGTGTGTCTTTTCGTAGGGGACCCCCGTGTTTCCCTATCGTTTTCCTTGAAGACCGCCAAAACTGGGTACCCTCAAAAAAGACACACCTACTAGGCTTGATGATTAAACGAAAACCAAAGGAATACCAGCCATAAATTGGTCGTTCTTTATCAGAACGCGCCACCGTTGGTCCAGAGGCACAACCGACACATTGGCGCGCTGTGGCACTACCAGCGTATCATCCAGGATCAGGCGGGGACGACCATTGCCTTGAAGCCCTCTGTTTTCTGTGTTTCCTGGCTCTACCGGGCGCCCAGCCATCCGATTCAACCTAAAAGATCTGAGCCCAGTAGACGGGGACCACCCCGAAGCCAGCCCTCGGTAATACTCAAGTCCGTTTGGGCCCCGGGTTCCGGAAAGGTTTTAGGGGTTTAAACTGGGGCAGTCATTGTTTTGTTTTCGTGCGGGGCTGTCTTGGTCTAACAAATACCCTCCTTCACACCAACGTGGAAGTCACCGGAGGGTCCATTTACGAGTTGAAAATGATCTGCCAGCCTCCAATCAGGCTCCATGTGGCAGAGTGGGTGGTATGAGTCGTATATTTGTTTCCCCACCGCTTTGTTTGGGGGCGTTTTCGTGGGATTTGGACATGCGACGCCGCAGGTGCTCTACAGCCTCTTGCCTGCAAGCCGAGCTGGGTAGCTGGGTTTGGGGACACCAGAAATCGATGGGTTCCACTGGTTTGGGTTGTTGTGTTTCTCCATTGTCCAGGGAAACCCATCTACTTTACCAAAAGGGCACCTGTGACCGAACCCAAGTTGGGAGTCTCGAAGCCTTGCTAAGCAAGCTATTCACAGCCAATCAACACGATCCTTCTGCTAGACGGTGGTGTCCCTTCCCATCTGCGCGGATTGCGGGATGGATCCTCCCAACAGCTAACAACCCAGTCAAAACAGAGTGCTGCAAGGCTGCTTTGTTTTAAGTGGACCCGCTGATTTAGCACTGCGACAGTCGCAAGATCCACTCGAAAAGGCCAATATGTTCGGGTTTTCTGCCCATAGGCTTTGGCCTTTTGGGGGCAAAGGAGATTCGGTTCCAAGGGATTCCGAAGGGTTTTAAGGCGTTCCGGGGCTGAAGATATGGGTATTGATCCAGAGTAAGCCACCAGGACTGGACCGCAGGATGTGATCTTTGCTTCTATTTACCAGGGTTCCATTCTGGGTACTTGTCTAGGTCCCCCCCAGCTAGGTGCCCTTTCTCACCCCTTTTTTGGGGGAGGGTTCCCCTACTAAAATAGACTACAGGAAAAAGTTGTTACCCTTATTCCAACCTCTCAAATCTGGAGGACCTAGTTGTTTTTGGCCGCCCACACTTTTCCTGAGCTACTGTGGATGGACGAACTTCACTTCGCACCACCTAAGAAACCCAGGTTTCGGATGATTTCCCCTGTAGATACCAACAACCAACGGTTTCAACCATGGTTGCTTAGGTGGTGCGAAATGGATTTCGCAACCATCCACACCAGGTCACCAGGAATAGGCTTTTAGTCCTTGTTTCCTTTTTTTTTTGTTAATTATCCCCATTTTTGGCCCCACAGCCACGTTTTTTTTCATCCGGGGGTCAGCGGACCGAGGATACAACCGGCCCTTTGAGGAGAAGCTCTACAGCCAGGCCTGTTCCATGTGCAGGCGGGACGGCTTTCGTTTTGTTCCTGTTGGACGGCCGTGTCTAGAAGGGGACATGGGGCGTGTGTCTTAGAAAAATCCGGGGGCGTTCCTGTGATAGAAAACTCGGGGGCCCCTAAGAGAACGGCGGGTTTTCAACTTTGGCTTCTCTGAAAACCCGCCCCAAAAAGTTGGCACCCTCAACCAAAAAGAGACACCCACATCGTTTGAAGGGCAAGAGTGAGTGCTTTGGCCTTGCAAGATCTTCTTTGAGAGTTCCTGGCATGGATTTTCATGTTGAGGTTTAGATGGACGCGAAGCACCGGCGACCGTGCGCTACTGGACCCATGGAAGCCTCGTTTTTTAGGCACACGCGGCCTGGGCCAACGGAACACGACGGACAGACGCATTTGCTCTGAGCAGATCTTTTTGTTTTCCTCCTTTTTTCTTCTTTTTTTTCTTTTTTTTTTCTTCTTCTTCTTTTTCTTTCTTTCGGCGTGCGTTTGCGCGCATCACTGTCTGTCAGGGCGCTTTTAAGTTGCCTCGCACTGCAATTGTGTTGTCTTTTTTTCGGCCAGTGGCAAAGACTCAAAGATCTAGAATGGAAGCGCACGGTGTGCAGTGGCAACATGGAGCTCCTGTAATTGGGTCAGAGGGCTCAGAGAAGGGACCCCATGTGATGATGTCTTTCCCGGATTTAAGTCGAAGATGGATTGTCAAGAGGCATGGCTTCTGCGAGGCAGAAGCGGCGCCTTGCCCATGAGGCGACTGGGTCGGATGCAACTTTGAGATGAGACAACTGCTCGACGTCTCGTTTTGCAAGCCGCGCGACTCCTGCTTGAGAACAGTCCAAGGTTGGTGGGACCCGCGCGTTTGCCTCTCCCCGCGTGGCTCGTCGGACTTGGCCGGACTTGGCTGAAGCCATGGTCAACTTCGGTCCAATCCGGAGGACTATGGAATTCAGGGGCGGCTCTTGTCAGGGAACCATTTGGGTGTGGGTCAATATTGAAACAAAAAGGAGGACCACGGATTTGAGTCCATGTTTCCATTTACCAGGGCAAGCCATTTTGGGGTTACCCTATTTTTGACCACCACAGCCATTTAGTTTAGATGGTTCCTCCGACTTGCAGGGTGCGAAGTAAGCAGTACCATGCTCTTGAAAGCGCCAGGCTTCTGGCAGATGAACCTTCTCCGTGCGGCCGCACAGAGGGAGGGGGGCCCTGGGGGGACTTCTTTCACAGGAAACAGATGGGGCGCGGACACCGGGAGGTCATGCGTTTCACTTCTTGAACCCATTGGATGTAGCTTAGAAGGGCGTTGTGCCGGCGCTTAGAACTCAGCTTGTGCCCATCTCAGGTCAGCTTAGCCTCTCTGCTCGCCTGTTGAATAAATTGGCCACTGACCAAGTAAAAGGCAGGCATGCTTCTGCAGCTGTTGCAGCCGTTGGAGGGCTTATCATGTGTTTTGCTTACCCTGCGCCGGTGACGTTTTTGTTTGTCCGTCACCGAAGTCACCGACCCGAAGCCAAATGAAGCAAGACCAACTAAGGCTTCGTTTTGGGTTCTATTGCACAAAATGGCAATGAGGACGAGTTGAAGGGCAGGGTGTGGGGCCTGTTGCAGCCGAACGCCTGGACCAGCAGTGTTGGACCAGCATGCAATGGTTCATGTCAGTATGTGTTGGGTTGCTTTGGTGGCTCTCCATTTCAGCTTCTGTGGCAGGGATGCAAGTCTCAAACAAGATTCTCAGTTGCACCGTGTTGTGCATCTCTCGGGGCATCTCAAAAGAGGGGGTTTCCTCCTTCCTGCTCTCTGCTGCCTGCTCCCTGCTCCCTGTTCCCTGCTCCCTTTTTCTTTCCAGCCTTCCCCCAACCCTCCAAGTTGCTAGTTCTCAGTACGGGGATCGATCCCCGGACGGAAATCAAAAAAAGGCGGCACAGGGTCAGCACGCCTTTGTCGAACCGGCAAGTAAAAGAGATGGCTAGTGAGGGTTCTAGGTGAATATGGCGATGAATTTCGACAAAAGTGCCTGGTGGACATGAATCCTAAATGATGTCCACCGCTAGGATTCACACCCAACGAGTGCTGGCTGCTCATGGTGGTTCGGAGGCTATCGTTCGGATGATGAATCCCTACCAAATTCTGATGTCCACCATTTCGGGTCATGGACCCATTCGGATTCACACCCAAATGCTTCTTTTTGAGGGTACATAGGGGTCTCTGTTGTTTTGAAGGTACCCTTGTTTAAGGGAACACCCACCAATTCAGGGGCTTTTGTGGTTTCAATGAAAAAGACCACCATGGTTTGGGGGCTCCCCTTCCAAGATCTCATCTTGCACTTTTGAGGGGACCGGTCCCCATATTCTTTGGGGAGACCCGGCCCCTTTTTTGGGGGGTCTGCCACTTTCTTGGCACTTTCTTTGCTGACCCGTCCCATATCTTTTTGGGGTGGGAGCCTGTTTCCTTTTTGGGGGGTTTGTCACTTTCTTTTGCACTTTTCCATATTCTTTTAACCCCCGTCCCCTTTTGGGGGGTGCCTCACTATGTTCTAGGGGGTGATTCCGATTCCATTCTTTTCAGCCATCGCTCTTTTCAAAAACCAGCCGTTTCCTTGGTTCTTTTTCTCCATGGCTTCCTGAAAAAAGAAATTCGGATCCCTGGGTTCAAGAATGGAATTGGTTTAGGTCGCCCTGGACAGAATTTTTGGCACTTTCCTTTGCGTTCGAAAGCGAGCTCGGCTCCGCTCGCGAAAGCGAACGTCCCAGGCTGGTCTTCGTGGGCATCTACTCCGCCCGGAGAAACTTCGAGAAGCGGCAGGCGGTCAGGGCGCCTCGGCCGCCGCTTCGGACCGCGCCTCTCTCTCGGGAGCTGAAGGGACAGCCGCATGGCGAAGCCCCAGGCCAAAAGGGAAAACATGAGGCGGCCAGAAGCTTTTTCTTTCTCTCCTTCTTTTGTCCTTCTTCTTTTTCTCCGAGTTGGTAGCCCTTCTTTGGTGGATTTAAAGAATTACCACAGTTTTTGTATTTTTTTCTGGGTGTGTGTGCTCTCAAAAAAAGACACCGCCGAATGGCTTCTCGTTCCGCTGGTTTTGCCGTGGGATTTTTCAAGCTTTCCATGTTCCCTGGTCCCCTTTCCTGCATTTGAACCATGAAGCTTTTCCTTTTCCATCAGGCCAGAAGGAAATTATCATTTTGTTTGCTTTCTGGAGTCCTGCTCAGGCGGATATTGTAAGAAGCCGCTGAGGACATGAAGGCGAGTCGGAAGTTTTTTCAGCCATCCCATGGACGCGCTCGGTAGAGCCGAGCCACGGCGACAGCAGATGTCACAATTTCCCTTGCGGGAAAGCACAGATGAAACTCCGATCCGGGGAATTGCGCTATCTACTTCTGCTCCGAATATGTGGGAGCTTGCCCCAGATGGGACCCAAAGGGTTGGTTTGCCTCTCGCTTCTGAGAAACTTCTTGCCAGCGCCTCATGGGACACCCGCGGTTTCCTAGGAAACGGATGAACTCGGGGGACACCAAAAAGGAAGAGGGACGGCGCCCCCCCCAAAAATGGTCATTATCCTAGCACCCCTAGAAAGCCACCCGTAGGGAAGCACGACGCATGCCAACCGCGTTTCTACCGTTGAACCCGAAGGCATGCGGTTTGCGAGACACGAGGCTCGGTTCTTTTAGCCCAGGAATATCAGGTGAAGGAAGAAACTGCCAAGACAGGTCCAAGAAAAATCATGATCTTAGCTGTTTCTTGGGGCTATCAAAGTCAGATGGGGTGGCTTCCCTTTACCACTGAAAGGGGGTGACTGTGATCATGGTGAAACAATGGGGTCACTTCGGAGTTGACCCCAGGCATTCGAAAAAAAAGGGGCTCTGTTGTCTGGTCCGCTTTTGACCCGTCTACAAGAATCCGATCACCTTTTGTGCTGGCTTTAAAGGGAAACTGAAAGGACATCCTTGCCATTGTTGAGGGAAACATCCTCGCCAGATCCCTTACTTGGGTCACACAAACCAACTTCCATTTGCGATCCCAAAAGGAACCAGCTATTTGGCCGAAAAAGAACAAATATGACGAGCCCCTCAGAAAGACATACCCCTCACACCAAAGACGAGCCGCTCATTTGGATCCCAAAAGCGAACCGAATCGGACGCCAGATTCCTCTGGGTGAATTATAACGACCTCACACGACCGAATTCACCCCAACTGGTGGTTTTGGTGGGAAACAGCCGAATACCCCAACCACCGCAAGTTTCTGGTTGGTGAAATAGTGAAATATTCTAGTTCACCCAGATTCCACTGGTTTTAGTCATTGTTTCCATTTACCAGGGTGCCATGTTGGGTACCTATGTTTGACCCACAGCCATTCTTGGATCCCAAAAGCGAACCAACTCGGGCGCCAGATTCCTTCATGGTTGTTGTTGGGAAACATTTTACATTTTTGCTCATTGTGGTTTAGTGGTTGAAATCCAATGATGTTTTTGCTCCCCTTCCAACGTCAACCAAGCTATGGGCCATCCATGAGGTTTGTCTACCCTTCTTTGGTTTACCCCCAACAAATGCTTATTTTTTTTTCCCAAGAGGAAAGACATCTTTCTACAGAGGTTCGGTTGAAATCCAACCACTTAACTGCTAAGTTGTTTTTTTGCTCCCCTTCCAACGTCAACCAAGCCCCGTCCTCCGAGGACACATGGGGCCGGGTGCTGTCCTCCTGGAACTTCCGGTACCGCTTCTTCCTGGGCGAGGCCAGCAGCGGCGCTTCCAGCGAGGATCGATCCGACCGGGAGAGGCACCGAAGAAAAAGAAAATATAGAAAAAGAAAAACGGGCCAAAACTTGACTGCTATTGCAGCTCCTTAAAAGATACATTTTGCCCAATTGAAACATGGCATTTTCCACCAAAATAAAGGGACACCACCATTTACAAGGCAATGTTCAGGTGTATAATGTAAGGATTCCTGCAGGGTGCCCCGTTTTAGTGGGGATTCAGAACACTTTTGGAGGGAACACCCCCTGAAAAAATGGGGCGGGTTCTTGACTGCTATTGGGTACCGGATCTTTAGACTTTCACTTTTTGGTTGAAATCATTTGGGGTTTTCCACTAAACTCCCAACAAGTTGTCAACTTTTTGCAGGAAGGCCAACAGCAACCAAGAAAAGGCTCAGAGGTTTGGTGTAAGATTTTGTATCTGAGGAGTTGTGGCGCGATGAATTTCGCGCCACCCATGGTCGGGGGGAGGTTGGAGGCTCAAGTCCGCCCAACTTTATTGAAGTGCAACTTGTTTTCGAGCACGTTTGCAAGGGAAGCATTCTTTTTTTGTGTGTGTCCTTTCTTCTGGTACTCCCCTGGAACGCACTAGAGTGTCCCTTCCAAAGGAACATTGTTTTTCCAGGTCCCCTCAGTGAGGTTCCATGTTAATGGATAGGAGGGTACCTCAAACTACCGGGAAAAAACACATTAACACACTATGGGGGGGCTCATCCAATTTTCCTGCGCCCTTTTGGGGAAAAGAGACATTTGAGCTCATAGTACGATATGTATATATATATATATAACCTCAAGAATCGGTGTCTTGCTCTCCGGGAGACAGAACAATTAGGGCAAATCCCCAGAATTCGATCCGGGTCCCTTTCAAGGTTCTAGCCCTTGGGCGGGGGGCTAGGGTTTCCTCCCTTGGTTTCGAAAACTGCCCCACGGGTGCCCCCCAACAGACACACCGTCAACAGGTCGTTGCGGTCTTTCTTGTTTGAGCAAGGCAGGTTGGAGAGATTTGTTTGTTGATGCAAATCAGGCATGATGCTTTCCTGTGGTGCTGCAAGAGCTATCTGTTTTGCCCAGATCAAGACAGGGCTGTTTTGACACCAACAGTTGCTATCTCGAGATGCCCCCCTTACCTGGTGGAACCCCCCCCACCCCCATTTGGTATGGTTGGCGGGTGTGTGTCCTACTGTGGATGGACTAAATCCTGGAAGCTGGTTTCTCTTCGCAAATACCAACAAACAGACTGGTTTCCCATGATTCAAGTGGTGTCGTAACAGGAACCAGTGTCGTTTCTCCTGGTCCAGGTGGCGGTTGCAATTTCCGCTCAAGCAAACGTGTATAGATGTTGACATATCAACAAAAAAGGTAGCGCCGCACTGCAGCCGCGGAAGGTTTGCGGAAGGTGTTTTTCCCGAGGAAGCTCGCGGAAGGGACCTTGTTGATTTGCACATAGTAGTTTGATTTCGGCTGGATGGTTGTTGCCAAGCACGTTTACTAGCAAACCTTCCTCAGTTTCCAGAAGCAACTTGCCAGCGGAAGGCCCGCGGAAGCACTTATACAAACTGAACTTATATAGAAGCATGCTCGCGGAAGGTACCCTTCACATCGCGGAAGCTTCGCGGAAGGTTTCGTGGGAGGGTTTGATACGTCAATGCAAATTTAAAGGGAGTAAAAACCAGCGATCCGGTGTTCCTGAACTCACTTGCTGTTTCCCCTGGTGTCATAGTTGGTGCAAAATGGATTTCGCCCACCCTCCGCAGCTTTTTGAGCCGATCTGCCTTTCAGCCCCGGCATGCGTTGGATTTGGGTGGATCCGGGGGACTGCGGGGCTGGAGAGATCGAAATTCGAAACCGACCGCGCCACCTAACCTCATGCTGAAGGTTTGTTAAGAATAGCCTTGCTGAAAATGAAGCGAAGCCTATAAAGAGGTTATGCTGAATATCCACGAAGCAAAAGAATAAGAAAGAGGTTTGCTAAAGAAGTTTGCTCATAAATCAAGAATAGTCCTTTAAGAATAACCTCATGCTGAAATTCACATGAACTAAAAAAGTGAATTATCCATGAAACAAAACTCTGAAAGTTACTCGGCCAAATGACCCGCCTTTTGCAGAAAGGAAACCAACCCTTGTGAGACCTGGGTACCTTCCCAACAAAAGAGCAGAAGAGAAGGGACCTGCACAGGAACCGGTTCCCTAGGGCTAGGGGACCGCTTCCTGTGAATCGGTGCCTTCCGTTTGGGAGGAACTTTCAAGGAACTGCCGGAGCTTTCGCAAGGTTGCCACTGGTCTTGCTTAGGACAAGCCAACTTTAGGTTGAGAGGCAAGCCCAGTACGTGGGAGTTGTTCTAAAGGTCGTGGAAAGGAGTGTAGTATTCGGAATTTAGAAACAACTCCTACATGACTCTCAAAACTAGAGACCTTCAGCTGGTTGGATCCTTTTAGTCATCCTTACCATCCAGAAAGAGTCAACATAGGAAAGGAGATGTTTTTTCCCTTTGGTTCCCCAAAAAACCAACTTGAAAAGGTACCAACTCCAAAGAACTCACACGCTGGCTGAGTTGCCGCTTCTTGGATGTCCAACCAACCTAGTCAAAGAAGTTTAGAAGGAACTTCCGTGTTACGGACACTAATTGAAAGGTAGTTTGGCTCTTGGATGAGATGAAGAAAGAATGGTTGCGTGCGAGAAAACATGCGTGCGCGTGTGGCGTGGGAATGGACATCGCGAAAAAGAGTGAGCCTCTGCGTGTTCTGGCGTTTCCGGCGAGCTGAAAGCTACGGTCTTGGAAGGGGCTGGGAACCCGGGCCCATTGGCACGGACGTGCACGCTTTTCGCGACGTCAGCTTTGCGTGGCAGGCGCAGCGCTTTGGCAAGCCGAGGTGCAGATTGCGTGGCAGGCGCAGCATTATGTTGCGTTGGGGTTTAGATGTCGTGGCAGGCGCAGCACTTTCGCACTGTCAAGTAAAGATTTCCTGGCAGGCGCAACGTTTGCGCGATGCTGGCACGGACTTGTTGCAAATCCCATTGGCACGGGCACGCGCCCTGGCGCGTGCAGATTTCGTGGTGGATAGATGGACAGATAGACAGAGAAAGATAAATTGATAGAAACATAGGTAGATAATTATGGATGAATAGACAGACAGACAGACAGACAGACAGACAGACAGACAGATAGATAGATTGACGTGGGCGTAGGCAGGTAGACAAATAGATAGGCAGGCAATGTAGATAGATAGATAGATAGCTAGATAGATAGATAGACAGGAAAACACAGTAGATAGATATATAGGCAAATAGATAGGCAAATAAATAGGTTGATAGATAGACAAATAAATAGATAGCTGGATAGATAGATAGAAAGAGGGGTCTATTTATATATACACATAGACAGGTAGGTAGAAAGAGAGAGATAGATAGGCAGGTACATAGGTACAGGTCGGTAGATGAGACAGATATATAGAGAATAGGAGAGGGGTAAACAGAGATACATGGATTAATAAACAGGTAGACAGATAGATAGATGGGGTAGGTAGGTAGGTAGGTAGGTAGGTAGAGATGGGTAGGTCTGTAGGTCGATAGATAGATCGGTCGCTTGATTGACAAGTTGATAGGTCGGTTGGCGAGTCGATGCTAGACGGCGAGAGATAGGTGTGCGATGGATGGATGGATGGATGGATGGATGGATGGATGGATGGATGGATGGATGGATGGATGGATGGATGGATGGATGGATGGATGGATGGATGGATGGATGGATGGATAATGAATGGGCAGGCAGAAGCAGAATCGGGCAGAGCAAAGAGAAGTGAAAGAGCAAGAACAAGAAACAAGAGACACGCGCAAGAGCAAGACAATGAGCAAGGTAAAGAGAAAGAGACGCGGAGAGACATGAAAGAGAGAGGGAAAGGGAAAAGAGAACGAGAAGAGAAAGAGAAAGAGACAGATACAAAACAAGAGAAAGAGCAAGAGCAAACAACGGAGAACGATAAAAACAAACAGAACAAAGGCAAGAGAATGAGCGGGAGCAAAAAAAAGAGACGGAGAAAGAAGAGAAAGAGCAAGGGAAAAAGATAGGGGAACGAGAAGAGAAATTGAAAGAGACTGAGAAAAAGAAAGTGCCAGAGAAAGAGAGAACAAGAGAACGAGAAAGGGAACTATAGGTCTTACATTCTTGAATCTTCCGCCAACCGGCCTCGCCGGCTCTACTGGTAAGTAGGGTATAACCCTGGCTATGACTCGGGTACCTGAGGTTGGTCCCCTTATAACTTGGCGATTCCCAGCCGTCCGCTTGGCCTTTTAGGGTGTTAGCTGCCAACCCTGGGAGGGCAACCGTGGATAAACCAAACAAATCGCTTGACGTGGCCCAAAAATCCAAGAGTTGAGTGGAAGGAGCGCCGCATGCGCCGGGAGATGGAGGAGCACAACGACCTCGTCTTCCTGCCGGTGACGGAGGGCTACCGGATGAACAGCCGCAAGGCCTGGGCTTGGCGGCTCGAGTCGCGGGTGACTCACTTGGTGACCCGCCGGCGGAGCTGGAGCGGGGGGTATCCCAATTTTTTCCTTTTGAGTTTAGTAGCCTTTGGGAGCTACTGACCGGAGTTCTGTGGTAGGATGGGGCCTTTAAAAGGTGATTTTGGTTGAGCGTTGGATTCTATTTGGATGTTGGTTCAGTTTGCTGGGTTGCTCACCTTGAAATGGCCAAACTGCAACGATGCCAGTGGAATCCAGCCGATGTTTCTCCCAACGGACAGGTCTTTTTCGAGAAATCGCGGGGCGCAGGTTCTTCAGTGCTTTGACCCCCGCACTCACGACCCCTATAAACCATCCATCCAGTAGTTTCCTTTCTTCGGGAATCCCCCAAACCCGGTTCATCCCATTTCTCATTCCGTGCATCGCTCGCAGCCAGGGTCTGCTCTTTCTGGAGTGGATCGCCCAGCGCGCGGAAGCGGAGTTCCTGCTGAAGACCGACGACGACGCCGCTTCGGTCTTCGGCTGGCTGGTTTCGGTCGGCCGGCTGCCGTGCCGGGCGGGCGGAAGCTCATAAATGACCGTTTCAGGGTAGGTTTGGTTTGGTTTGGTTCTTGGGGTCACTTTGGCTGAACAAAAAATGCAGTGGCTTCTCAGTTGTTCAAAGCGAATCGACCAGATCTGACCTTTTGGTTTTCCGATTTTGGTATTTAGTCATGGCCCGGGCCCCAAAAGGTGAACCTTTTGGTTTCAGGTCCTTTGGGCCACTAAGGTTTGGTTCGGGTCGCTTTGGATGAAGCCAAATTTGGATTCCACGGGTTTCAGCTCCGATCTCGTCACTGACAGGTGAAATGTATTTCTTTTTCTTCAAAAGGGAAGCTAGAGGCAGGTCTTTTCATGTGTCGGCCAAGACATGGGACCACGCGGTTTGCCCACAAGTTCCAAAAATGAAGAACCCATCTCATTCGCCCAGCAACATTGGGGGAAGGACCCATGTGGGATCCTCGTCCAACAAAGCTTTATTTTTGAGCAGCTTCATTGCCAGCATTTGGCTGTGGGTCAAAACCAATGGTACCATTTTGGGGTAGGTGCACCACTCATTTTAGTCTACTTTAGTGGGGATTGGGATGTTCACTGGGCGTACGATTTGGATTTTGACCCATGGCCATATGTCATTTTCCGTGATTCAGACGCCCAAGAAAGTATTAGAGCAAGCTGCGGTTTTTGTTGGCTGGAGCACTTGCCAGGTTTTCCTTTGGCTTACATTTTGACCACAAGAAGGGTACCCTCACTTGAGCCGCAATCAAAACCCGGGGATTGGTGAAGGTTAGTAAGGGACGATCCCCTTGCCAAAAAAAAAAAAGCGGATATCCGCCTTCTTAAATCTTGAAGCATGGTTCCGGGTAGACCATTTGTGTACCTGGTTGTGATTATGACTCACTTTGTGGGGCTCAAGAGGCAATTGCCTTGAGTTCAGCAGCTGGACCTCCCCAGGTTTCAATGACCAGCGGTGAGCCTCGGGCGGATTTCATCTCGCTGGTGCTTTGAATGTTGTGTGCTGGAACCGTTTCCCCCGGAAGTGAACAATTATTGCCATGGGTCGTGTCCAATACTGTGGATGGACCAAATCCATTTCGCACCACTTGGAAACCAGGGGAAACCATTATTCGTTGGTATTGAGAGGGGAATCATGCCTCTAGGGCCTCTTGGTTGGTGCAGGATTTCGTTTAGCCACAGTATCAACCAAAGCTTTTGGTCAATCAACTGGGCTCCCATGCGTGGCTGTCGGCTGGCTCGCCTAAGCCGGCGAGCGCCGAGGTGTACCTGCGTCTGGAGCCGGTCTTCAGGCGGGTCTGGTAGTTGAGGGGGGAGGTGGCCGCTTTGGTTTTCCCTCCTGTCCACGTCTTTTTGTTGTTTAGAAATAGATGGGTATGGGTCAAAATGAAACCACCAGGAAATGGACCGCTGGTTTTCGTCATTGTTTCCATTTACCAGGGTGCCAACGCCATTTTGCGGTTACCAACTCTTTTTGACAACCACAGCCAGATGGGCATCTGTTGTAGAAGGAGGTTTGTGGTGGTCAACGCCTCTCGGTGCTCTAGCTGAGTCTGGTCCTCTAAGCCCAACTTGAGCTTTTCGTCGAGAGGACGAGAGGCGCGTCCAAAAGAAAAGGAAATGAGGCACTGGCTCCCAAAACCGATTCGGGGATTGATGAAGGTTAAGGAAAATCCTCGGCGCCATAAATGGCGCCTGGAATTCTGGGGGCTTTTGGGCAACTTGCCTTTTGGCTGTCAAGTAAAGGGATTGCTATCCTCGACCCGAAAAGTTATGCACGCGAGAGTGCAAGTAGAGGAGCTGTAGTCCATAGGTGTCCTTTTGCATGCGAGTTTGTTCATCGATGGTTTCACAAAGCTCAGTTTGGTTCATTTCGAATTTGAATTCCGAAACAACACCTAATGGGGGGCCCCCCCTCAACTCCCCTAAATAAAGTTACACAAATGTTTTCAATTGTGTAGTATTCCAAGTGACATTTTTGGAGTAGGAATCCAGAAGAATTGGAATGAAGAGGAAACTAGGAATCCAGAAGAATGGGAATGAAGAGGACACTCGGAATCCAGAAGATTGGGAACCCAATTCCATTAGCTTTATTTAGGGGGCTGTTTATTTAATGCAAAGGGGCTTGTGGGGGGTACCCTTGCCAGATTGTTTGGGTGTGCTTTTTTAGATCGCTACAAGAAAGGATTTTTGAATAAAGGAGCCATCATTTGTTGGATTTGGGGATCCATCAAGAAAAGGGGGAGGGGATTGCCACTTTGATTGACCCAAAGGCAAAAGGAAGACCCTTTAATAAAGCTAAGAAGGTCCACATATTTTTGTTCCACCATCCCAATTACATTAGCTTTCTTTAGGGGCATTTTATTATTTTTTGGAGGGCAGGCTTGGCTTTATCTAGTGTTTTTTTTCCCCCCCTAATCGTAGGTGGGCTTAAGGGGCATTTTTGGTCTGCGTTCAAGATTTGAGAGTCGAGGTGGTAGGGTGGCGGTTGCTTCTTTCTTCTTAGGATGTGTAAATCGGCGGTTCACACCTATGTTGACACGCCAAGGGAGTTTGGGCGGCCGTTTTCAGGTTTCCTCTTCAGGACGCCTAAAAGACCCACACGTGGCCCACTCTGCATGCAATGGCGGAGGCAGTTGCAGCACAGGGTTCCCGCGCAGCGCGGCGCCCGGTGGCTACAAAGTGGTTGGGACAAATGGCACTGATCACCATTATTTCCGCGAAGCTGCTTCTCCAAAGCTGTTCTTAGAACTTCGTGTACCTACTCTTTTGGGGGTTGTTTTAAAGGACAATCAAAAAGGAGACCAGTGGCTTTGCTCCAGACCTGTCTCCTTTTTTTTGGAGAGTAAGGCTTGAGGAGGGTTCATTGTGGGTTGACTGGGAAGGATTTCTTTTGACACCATTTGCATTTTAAATGGGGAATTAAGGATATATGTTGTGACTGGGGCATCTTGCTGAGGCGGGTGTCAAAGCACGGAGGAAAAAACCCGCTTGGGACGTGCTTTCATATGCGCCATCCTGTTGCCGACACCTTCTTCCTGCTTACCCGAGCTTACCAGACCCATACCTTGGGTTTTGCTTCGTTCATATGCTTGACAGCTGCTTTTGGGTCATTTGGCAGATCATTATTTGGGTTGTCCCCAATCAGTCTTGAATCCTTCTGCCACATGGTGGTTTTCCCTTGTGGTAGTGGTGTCCACTATGGATTCCGGGAATCGAAATCTGCCTGCCCGAGTTTCAACAACCAAGCCTAAGTTTGGTTTGTGGGCCACCGTGGACCCTCCTTCCAACTTTTGGACAGCCCAGAATCATAGGCTGGTCCGCTATGGGTCACGGACCATTGTCATGTTGGGGTCCGGGGGCCCATTTTGAACTGTGTAGTAAACAACACACACACAGCCATTTTGGGCTGCCTATTTTATAGCGTAGAGCGAGCTCAAGCCATGACAAGAACTGGTATATATCGGGAAACATGAAACCAAAAAACACCAACCACCTGGAGGAATCAGTTCCCTTGTTTCTAGGGGTTGATTCCCCATTCTTTTCGACCATCGTTCTTTTCAAAAACCGGCTCCGTTTTTCCTGGGTTTCCGGACGTTTCCTAGAAAGATCCGGATCCCTGGAAAGAATGAAGTGTATATTCGTTTGAAAAAGCCATAGAGGTACGCCTGGGCGATCTTCGACTACATCAGCCCGGTGCCACGGGAGCCGGATGACAACTTCTACAACCCGGAGGACGGCTCCCGCTGCGCTCCCAGCAAAAACAAAGCGGCGGCTCCGGCGGCGTTTCTTTTCGTAGCCGCCGGGTCCCGTATGTTTGGCACCAGGGTCCAAAATGGGGCCATATTCTTTGTTCAACTCCCCATTCGTATACGATGGGTCCCGTTTTTGCGACTGCCTCGCCTTGTGCGTTTCCGGACTGGAGCCACTTTTTGGGAAGACCCGTGGAGACGCAAAGTCCGGACTTGTTGTTGCCAAGTTCCACTCAGGTTTCCACTTCCCGTGCATTTCAGAGAAAAAGGGAACGGTCAGCTCCGGGGAAAGCAGGCGCTGTGTGCTCCCCTACTTTGTCCCCAGATAGTTGAAAGCTATCGGGGTTCTAACTTCAAGTGCAGAAGGACTCAGAATTCCAACCGGGCGCCGCTGCGGGGCTGCTGCACTGCTTCAGGCCGAGACTCGGAGTTGCGCGGTTGAGAGTGGGGCTCAGTGATGAGCAGGATGCTGCGGGGCGGTGCTGTTGCAGGGTGCTGCTGGGGGCCGAGACTCAGAGGTGCGCAGGGTGCTCTTTCGGGGAGACTCAGAGTTGCGCAGCGCTGGTGCTGCAGCGCAGTTTTTGCAGTTGATCTGCAGAACAAGTGTATCTTAACAACAATGAAATAGCTTCCATTGCAGGGCGAAAGGGTCCTCAACCCTCTTGACGTTTGACAGTCGCTTAACTCACGTGGGTGTGCGGACCCCTTCGCAGTTTTGGAGCAGGGCATGACCCCGTAGATACTTTGTTGTTCCATTTTTGGGGTGTCTTTTTGAGGGTACCCTTTGAGCGGTTTTAAAAGGAACACCTAAAGGAGGGTCCTGATGGCCGGCTGGCTCAACCTACCCCCCAGACCAAAGCATACCATCTTTTACAGACACGGAAAAGATCGTTCTTCTATCCATGGCCGGGCCGTTCTTGTCAGACCTGGGACACATGTCTGGTGCCACTGAAAGCGTAGGCCCCCTCTTGGAGGCAATGCTTACCCGGGAGTAGTCAGCCTGTCGGATTGGTGGGGGTCTTCACAAAACGGGATAACCCCCAATCAAAACAACCAAGGGTTTATTCATCAACTGGAGTTCCCCCACATCAAATCTGTCCCGTTTGGGAGTGCAAAGGAGCACCCGCCTGATTGTAACCTTACTAAGCAACCCCTTTTAACCAGTGTTGTGGGAATGAGGGTTCCCACTTCCGTGATACCCGGCAACCTCCCGTTTTAAATGGCTGCGGGTCAAAACCAATGGGACCATTTTGGGGTAGGTGCACCACCCATTTTAGTCTATTTCAGTGGGGATTGGGATGTTCACTGTGGGCTAACCGGGCTTTTGACCCATGGCCAAACGGATAATCAGCCCTGCTTGAAGCCACCGATTGGTGCGTGGTTTGCTCCAGGAGGACTTCCCGTTCCCTGTGTTCCCGCCTTACCCGCGGGGCGTGGTACGGGTGCTGTCCATGGATGTGGTGCGTCTCCTGGCCAAAGCAAGCCAGGAGGCGGGCTGGGACGGGTGTCTCTTGTAGGAACCCCTCCCCAAAAAGGAAGCAACCATAAACATGGCTCCTTAAAAGATACATTTTGCAACCATGTGAAACATGGCTTTTCAACACCAAAATAAAGTTGGAAACCACCATTTACAAGTTGCAATGTTCAGGTGTATAATGCATCCGGATCCCTGATAAACATGGCGCAACAGGTTGCCTGTTCGTTTCCCTCTACTCCCCCCACAAAATATATCAAATAACAGTAATGGTGCAATGGGTTTCCTGTTGGTTCCCCCTGTACCACCAAAAACAAGGCACCAACTCCAAGAAAACCCTGCCACAGCCTAACCATACGGGGTAGGGGTGGCAAGGATTCCTGAGACATGAAGATTTTGAAACAGAGGACAGAAAAAAGGACCTTGCTGGCTTGTCACCCTTAACACCCCTTACATCCCCCTGGACTGCACGTCCTTGCTTCCGTCAAGCAATGATCCTTCCCGGTGTTTTGACGTTTTAGTGGTTGTCTTGCATGGACTTCCCCGCAAAAAAGAAAGGGGATCCGGCCACAAACGCCAGGTCATTGCGTTGGTTTCTTTTGCAAGGTGATATCTTGCGTCCATAATGCTGGGCAACTGCAGGGTCGGGCGGGGCCGATTTTTTTTGCTCGCTGTCAGATGGACAAAATCCTGCACCACTTGGAAGCCATGGAACACCACTTTTTGTTGGTATTTACAGGGGAATCATCCCTCCAGGGTCTCTTAGGTGGTGCAGGATTTCGTCCGCCACAGTATGTATTTGGGAGGATGTTTGTTCTCAGTTGCACGCATGGCCCAATTGTCACATTGTCATTTGCTGAGGATCGCATTGGGACACAGGTTTGTGCAAAGAAAACAAAGATGACGTCACGAGAATGCTGGCCTTTGCTCGTGTACTGGCATTGTTTTCTGGGCTCGATTTCTCAAACAACCAGCGGCCATACCTGTGATTGAGCATCGCCCAATGCCCCGACTGACCAGTAGCGAGCGATGATGCATTTCTGCGTTCTGCAGGATGAAAAGCTATAATACTAGTCAACCACATAGTTCGACGTGCAAGACTTTTGTCCCATCGTTTAGGGACTGGAACGCTGTCTCTGGGAACATGTTAAAGCTAGGGTCCGACTGAATTTTCATGTTGCTAGATCAGGAAACCGCGACTAGCGTGACACCTTCCCGATCCAAAAAAAGGCCGCGGCCAGCCCTCTCTCTGAGCAAAAGGACACCTTTGCGGAAGTGGGAGGGTGGAGCATTCGTATCCCCAGCCCAAAGCTCATCTTTTGGGCCGTGAAGTTGCAGGTGCGATAGGTAGGGCCCCTGTGGAAAAGATCCCAGGCTTTGGGCCCGTTCACGGAAAGCACCGCTTGGAGGGGTTTTCTCGGGATCAGTCCGTGTCTCATGCCTATCGCACCGTCCAGGTGAATCAAGCAACACAACAAGTAGTCGAACATCAAACAATCAGGGCAGTCCGGAGCAAATTAAAGCCAACAAACAAAACGCAGCATGGGGCATGTGTGTGGAGCAATGGAAACCACCAAAAGCAGGTAGGCCCCCCCAGTAGTGCCTTTTTCACGGGGGGGGGGGGGGGGTGCCCCTACTAAAATAGACTACCGAAAAAAACATCGGGCACCCTTATTCTAAGCTCTCAAATCTGGAGGACCTAGGCAGGGGACACTTCACTTGGGCCAGGGGAAGCTGCGGATGATCTTCGGCGCCTTTGGCGAGAGACGCGTTGTTTTTTTTTGGAGGGGGGTTTGGGAGGCTCCTTGGGTCCTCCTTTCGCGCACCAAAAAAGAGGACCGCTCACAGAGGCATTTTAACGCACTTTTTTTTTTGGGGGGGGGCCCTTCAACTCTGAGGTGTTCCTGAACCATTTTTTGGGGGGGAGGCCCTTCAACTGTTCAAGGGAAACCACCAAGCAGCTTCCCCAGAATTGATCGAAATCATGACCCCAGTCTTTCCTTGCCTCTTGGTGTTTGTTTGTCGCACCGCTGAATGTCATCCACAAAGAAGCCCCCTTTCCAAATCTCTCAACATCATCCACGAGAGTAATGGCGCAAGACACCCACGCACACGCATAGAGCTGGCAATGTGTTTTTGCTGGGGACCCCCGCAAACATGGTTGGTGGGCAGACATCCACCTATTGAAATTCATGCCCAGCTTGCATGGAAGCTCCCACATCGCCTTTTTTGCACCCAACATGAGTGGCGATCCGGAGGTCGCTGCCAAATTCGTGATTCGGGATTTAATAATCACATTTCGGGATTAAATCACATTTTCGGGATTCGGGATTCGGGACCCCAATCACATTTTCGGGATTCGGGATTCGGGATTCGGGATTCGGGACTCAAATCACATCTTCGGAATTCAGGATTCGTGATTTGGGATTCGGGATTCGGGACTCGAATCACATTTTCGGGATTCGGGACTCGAATCACATTTTCGGGATTTGGGATTCGAGATTCGGGATTCGGGATTTAATCGCAATTGTGTTTAGGGTTGTTTGGATGGTGAAATTGATGAAGGGTAGATACCCTAACCCAACCCTAAACCACCTAAACCAGCCCAAAAACAAGCCCTAAGCCCGCCATAAGCCACCCTAAACCAACCTCAACCAACCCTAAACCAACCCTGAACCAATCGCCTAAACCAGCCCAAAACCAGCCCAAAACCAGCCCAAAACCAGCCCAAAACCAACCCTGAGCCAACCCCGAACTAACCCTAAACCAACCCTAAATCATCCCTAAACCAGACCATGCCTTCCATGCAAGCAAAGCCAAAAGGAATACCGTTGCACCCTTTTGGGGGGTCATCCCAAAAGAGACGCACTCATATCCAAGCTGAGTCCTTGCCGTTCTTTACATGGGAAGCTGTTGACCCCTACCTATCGGACCAGCAAGACAAGAGACGCATGGGTCCCAACACCCTCACTCTCCGATGTACACATTTAGACCATGACCATGGGGAAAAGAAACATGTAGAAATAAGTCGGCGTGAGAAAGACCACCTAGGTTACACGAACCCTCCCCCCCCAAATATATATATATATATATATATTATATATATATATTTTCTTCACCTGAGGCGACGACCCCTGCATCGGCGTCCACCTCCGCCAGCTGCTCTTCGACCCACACGAGCCGCTGCCCTCGCTGACGCTGGACCCAACGCGTCGCCTCCCGCCTCCGCCGTTGAACCGACCGCGGTCGTGGGGCGGATGGCTTGAACGTTGTGGGGCATTTCCAGGGAGAGGTTTTGGAGGGCTTATATGCCACATTTTTTTTTGTGTGTGTGTGTGTGTGTGTGTGTGTGCGTGTCTGCGTGTCTGCGTGTCTGCGTGTCTGCGTGTCTGCGTGTCTGCGTGTGTGCGTGTGTGCGTGTGTGCGTGTGTGCGTGTGTGCGTGTGTGTGTGCGTGTGTGCGTGTGTGCGTGTGTGCGTGTGTGCGTGTGTGCGTGGCAGCATATACCCCTTATATCAGTGGTATATGACATCCAGACCTCCGAAACCCACACCTGAAGAGACTCTTGAATTCTGATTTTCCGGCTTCCTGGTTTGTCCTCCTCTTTTTGTCGTCTTCTTTCTTTGCGCCCTACGATGATCCTTATAATACTATATAGTCTTTTATGATCCTAGATTGATTTGGTTTTTAAAGGCCTCCGCAACTCTACCACTTGACTTATTTAGTCCCCAGTAAAAATGTCCACGAGCCATCCCCTGACAGTGGTCGGTCTCTAAGAGAGGACTCATTCTTTTTCCCAGCCAAGCATTGCAAAGCTTAGGAGCAAGCTCTTTTACACTGTCAATGTTTGATCACTACTCCAAAAAAAGCAAACAAACCGACAACTCCAGAAGAAATGCAAGAGCCTTAAAAACCGTGGGGGAAAGGAGGCCCAGGATTGATCTTCAACATATTTCAAAAATGCGGAGGTCAAGCGCATCATTTCTCAGGTTGTTTGACCATGGCTCATACCCCATCGTCTTGAGGGTCCCCTTTTCAGGTTGACTTAAACGTCCATTTTGACCTCGCGCCCCCGTCTCACCGCCGCCACCGGCCCCTCGGCCGCTCTATCGCAGGATGACTTCGACAACCGCGTCTTCGCCATGGAGCCCAGCCACGGCCCCAAGGGGCCGAGTCGGGCGAACGGAAACGCATGGGGCCCCCGCGCGGTTCGGCGCTGCTTCAAAGGAAGCTCTCGGAATGAAATGGCCAGACCAAGGACTCGCCCATGAAGGTTGTTGTACATTTTGCCTCGAGTTTCCTTCCTTGCCAGCAAAAAGGTCGAGTAGGTTCTTTCTGGGTTAATCTGGGGGCGGCGCCAAAGGCCCTTTTCTTGGCTCCGATTCCTATTTGTTGGATTTTCCGGTGGAATTCGGGTGACACCCGGTTGCAAGCATTTGCAGAGGTGCAATTGCGTTTGCCACTAACATGCCTCATTGAATGGCAGAGCATATGAGGCCAGTTGGGGATGATTTCCGGACTCCTTCCTTGCCCGCTTTCAGGGGAGGTATAAGCCAGCACCATTTTCGCCCATGGACATCAAGTTCCAGGAAACGTTGCGCCAGGTTGCCACCACAACCTCTGGTCCAAGATGACGAACCGCACTTGGGCCATCCACCACGTGCAGCTCAGCTCAATGTTTGGAAAAACCTAAAAGAGGCGGTCAAAATACTGTGTGTGGACGGAATGCTGTACCACTTACCCTCCCACCAACTAACATGGAAGTGCAAGAAGGCCCTTTCCAAGAAGAAAGTAGGCTTTCTACAGGGGTCTGTGCACTTCCATGTTAGCTGGTGGGAGGGGGTAAGAGATGCTGGAAGGATGATTCCCCAACGAAAATACCAACAAACAGGTCATCTTGATTTCAATGCGCCTGCCAATGATTTCAGCTTTTCTCAATGAAGAACTGTGGTTTTAGAATTCCCCCAAACTAATGATTTTTCAGAGAAAACACCCTTCATTTGACATCATCTCCATTTGGGCTCCATTTGGGTTGCGCACTGCAAACATTGAGTAAATCAGATTACACCACGTAGACATAAGAGACCCACGAAGACCACAGAACGCGCTGATCATCACACAGCGCACGAAAGTCAATTGGAGAACGGTCAGGCATCGCAGAAGCAGCAGTGACAAAATTCAAAACTGGATGTGACACCGAAACAGCATCAAAGACATCAATGTGCTGATATGGAACAAAGGGTACGCACGCCAAGCAGACAGTAGAGCCGGTGAGCGGCTCGGCGGCGGTTTTTTTTGCAATGCAATGCGCAAAAGCAACACCAAAGACAAGCAAGAAGACACCGCGCGAGGATTGTTAATTGCTGAACACACCCTGAGAGCCAGCCATGCAACCGGAAACCTCTTTGACAACACGACAAAAACAGCCGACATGAGGCTGAGATGCAGGAATTTATTCTCATGCCGCGCAGTGAACGCGTGTGCTCAACACGATGAAAAGAGCCGACATGAGGCTGAGATGCATGAACTCATTCTCATGCGGCGCAGTGAACGCGTGTGCTTATTACCCCCCCCACCCCCCCCCCCCACCCACGCGGCGTGGAACGATAGAAAAACAGCAGAAACCAAGCGCCCTGTGGCGGTACGAGCAACAAACAATCATTTCCCTTGGTTTCCAAGTGGTGCGAAATGGATTTTGTCCATCCACAGGAGGGATATTCGGGATCCCCAAACATGGCGGTCTTCCAGTTTTCCTTTTGGCTTCCCTGGAACCAAACTTCGCCAAAAAGGGTGCAGAGCCTCAAAAAACACGCACCCCGCGCTTGGTCGTTTGATACCGGGCCCCTGCTACATTGCATCCTAACTCTTTCATCCCTGGAATGACGGGGGCGGGGGTTCAGAATCCGCAGAATTGCCGGCCTGTTTTGTTGCGCTGAACGTATGGTGTGCCGAGCTTGCTTTGACTCTTTTGGCAGCTGGCGGCCTTTTCTAGTGCGCTGTACCTCTTTGCAGTAGACATTTCGAGTTGGTACTTTTGGAGTGGTTCAAGGGAAACCAACCGGTAAAACCGAAGCCATGACTTCTTTTGGAGTGGTGTTCACAGGGACTTCTTTTTTCTTGGGGGGGGCATGGGAGCGGGGGTTCCCCGATTTTAAGACGCAGCCATGCCATGCTTCAAAGCCAATGGTCCCATGGTTGGGATTGGTGAAGTAATGCGCCCATTTCAGAGCCTATTTTAGTGGCTGGATTGAGTCGGATGTTCACTGGCGAACTGATTTGGGCTTTTGAAAAGCCCATGGCCCTCTTTTTTTTCCTCCAGCTGAGGTCGCCGGATCAGATCCGGTGCATGTGGCAGGCCGACCTGGCCGCCGGCTACATTCAGGAGACGGACAGCGGCGCCTTGGGCCACGAGTTTTTGGGACCCCGAGGTGCTGACTTTGACCCCCCAAAGCAGCCGAATTGAAAAACTTACGGTGGGTGGGGGGACGAAATCCATGATCCGCACCACGAAATGAATCCATGGTTGAAACCACTGTTTGCTGGTATTTACGTTGGGGAATCATCAGGGTTTCTTAGGTGGTGCGAAGTGGATTTCGTCCAACAGTATGTCTAGTTCGCCTGGAGAAACTGGGAAAAGTCTGTCTGGTGATTGCTTCAGGTTAGAACCAACATGGGAAAGTGAAAACCATAGTCTTGCCCTCCCTCTCACGTTGGCCCCTGACAGGGGGGGTGCCATGTGGAAGGAAGGGCGAGCCATGTTTCAGAGCAAGCCATGACATTGAAGATGCCTCCTGCTGCTATGGCGCTTTCTGAATCGGCGTTTCAGATGCACCTGGCTTCTCCCCAAAGACAAGTGCGGCAACGAGTGCGACCCTAGCGCGTGCAAAACATGTGTGGAATCCATGGGTGCATCTAAGAGGTTCGCTGAAGAGCCACTTTTTGTGAAATATCATTTGGGTGTCTTTTTTAGGATGCCACCTCAAATAGCGCAACGGTTTTTCTTTTGGTTTCGCCCTTCAAACCAAATATGTGGTGCCAACTCCAAAAACTGAGAGACGCCCAATTCAAGCGGCAGAGAGAAAGTTTGGACTGCCATATTTACTCAGGAAATGAGGAGTTGGGAGTTGGGATGGCTCAAGTTGATGCCTTGCAAACGTGTCGACCTGCACCGGGGGGCCAAACGGTCCAAGAAGCCCAAAACCTCCCCCGAGGCCTGCGGGTGGAGGAGCGGAACCTCGACGAGTTCCCGGACCTCTGCGGCTGCGCCACGGCGCCTCGGCGCGTCGGTTGCGTGGGTGGCGCGGGTCCGTTTTTTTTTTGGGAGTGCGGCGGAGGGGGGGTGGGGTGGTTTTAGGATCTCAACGGGTTTTCGGCGGAACGGTTTTTTCTTTCTGCTTTGGGGTCTCAAGTCTGCCCAGATTGGCGCCATGGTTCGGTTTTTCTCCCGGGCAGCTCTGGGGGTCTCGAGTCTGAACCAAGGGCCGAACCATGGATGATTGGCGCCTGGGAGAAGGCGAAAGCACCAAGAGGGTAGGAGCATGGTGTGGCGTTGTCCATGGTCTCCAAATGGATCTGGGCGAACAGGGAGCTTGGGGGTTAAGCGGGCTCCATGACGGTCGTCAAATTGGGGAATCCCGGAGGACGATATTTGGACGGGAGGTGTGTGACAAGTCAAAATTTGTGGTTCTTTGTGGGACGGCAATGATTGTCTCACTCTTTGAGTTCCGTTTTGGACTTTAGCCTCTTTTTGGGTCTGGACAGTTTGAGTGGCAAACCAAAAGTTCGGACCTTTTTTGGCCAATCCACTTGATCGGAATTGAGTTGCCAGGTAACCCTTTAGTGATTTGGATTGGGAGCGGTTCTTGTAGAGGGCAACTGGGAAACTACCCGGAACACCAAACCGCCGGGCTCCAAACCAATTGGAAGGAAGCTGGTTCGATGTTTTCTTGGAACGAGGGTGTTTCAATGGTCAGACCAGGGCGTGCGTAGAAAATGACAGACTTGCCGGTGGTTTGGAATGGTGGGACAGGTGGGGTGACCAAGCTGAAAGCAGGTGAGCGGTCTCCGCCAAGTCATAAGTCACCATATGTTTCCAGAGTATCACTTCTGGTTTTTTTCCCTCCTGAGCCACCAGCAAAGCTGCTTCTGCTGCACCCCAAACTGGACTCAACCGATTTCGCAGCCCAGCGAGTCTCATGGGACAAGCCCCCGGTTTGATCCCCAGGAGCCCCGCTTTCGGGAAATCCAAGCCCACGGCCACGCTTACTAAGCCCCGATTGGGCCCTTGGCCGGGTGGGGTAAGAGCGAGCCTGCTTGGGTTCCCTAAATTGCACCAGGGCTTGACGGGCGTTATATAGTTTTTGTTGTTCTTTTTTCAACACAACACAGACTCTTTTCTTTTTGATGTATATATATATATATATATTCATGAATTCTTATATCACAAACAAAACACCCACCAGTGGTTTCAGCCAAACATATACAAGACCAACTCTGTTCGTAAGCAAAGCCATGGCTTTCTAAGGACGAGAGCTTCCTGGACAGGAGCGACCTGGACAAGCTGCAGCGGGAGACCGAGCGCGTCCTGGAGGATCGGGGAACTTGGAAAAGCTGCCTCATGGCTGGGGGGGAGGGAGGGAGCCCAACTAAGCCCTAAATATTGACATGTGAAACTTGTGAAACTTGGCCAGAGCTCGTCCTGAAACTCATTGGTATTTGCGTGAAACTTGTGAAACTCGTGAAGCTTGGAAGAAAAATAGGGCTTATTTGGGCTCCCTCCCCCTCCCCTCCCTCCCCCAGCCCCCATGACTGCCGTACTGTTTTCCATTAAACCACTAAAAGTCAAACTTTTAGCAGGGGAGCAGAAAGCAACCGAGTGATGATTCCCTTATAAATACCAACAAACCACAGTTTCCCATGGTTTCAAAGTGGTGCAGGATTTCGTTCATCCACAGTAGGCGTCCTTTTAGCTTAGTTGGAGTAGCAAAGGACACCTATGGCAGCAATCCAAATCGCACGGGCGTTTGTTTGGCTATGCTAACCCGACTGGATTGCATTTCGCGAAGGGTCGCCTCCCATTTGCTTTGCCGACCCAAAAGCCGCCACCTGGGCTTAGGGGTTGCCTAAACAGGCCACGTTTCTTCATCTCGGGGCGTCGGTTCGCCTCTCCAACTCCGCAGTGGAGATGTTGAAGGCAGGCCTCCTGAGAAGACCTTGTCCTCGCCCTTGTCCTTCTTGACTGCTATTGGGTTGGAGCTTTAGACTTTGACACTTTTTGGGAAATCATTTGGGTTCTCCACGAACCCCCCAAAAAGTTATTAACTTTTTGCAGGGGGGTCAACAGCAACCAGGCCTTGTCAAATCGGCCTGATTGACAAAGGCACGTGGCAAAAGCGAGAGGCGCATTGAACAAACCACGGCAACAACAGCCGACAGGAGCGCCGCGCGGCTTCCAGGATGGGGGCCAAAACAAGAGTCCAAACATATACATCAAAAAGTCTCGCAAACATTCCCCTTCCCTTCGGCCCCCCTTGCGAGGGGCACTCCCAGTCTACTTTACAAGGACGACCCAGAGGTGGCTAGGCAAGATACACGGCTTAAACAAAAAGCCAGACAGCCTGACACAAACCAAGACGCAGGGTGGGTGCCCGATGCAGGGGTCAAAGGGTTGCGGAGCCAAGCAGAAAGAAGGGCAGAGAACTGGTATTGGCTCCGTTTGTTCGTTGTCCAGGGACCAACTTTTGAGTGCCGGTGATGGAGAACATTCTTCTCCCGTTCTGAGTGCTCCCAATCCAGCTCCCGCTGCTTGCAGCCTTGGCTTGAATGTCATGATGTATGTCTATATAATTCTACAAGTGTTTTTTGGGTTTGGCATACCAAAACTTCTTCTTCTTTTTTCAGAAGGTCGCCTCCCCTCTTGCTAAGACAAGTGGGCTAACTTGATTCGGCTCGGCGAGAGCGGGGTTCGGGCAGAGCTGCCAGGACTGATCGGATTGCTATGCGGTGCTCGCGAGCGGAGAGAAAGAACTCGCTGGGTTCGAGGGGAAGGGGTGGTTCCTGAGGTTTCAGCTCTTTTGTTTGGGTTTAGCGGGGGTTTCCACTAAATCCACTAAAAGTTCAACTTTTAGCAGGAGATCTGAGGACAGCCCAGGTGACAAGGTGTGCATCTACAAAGTCACAATGGTCAAGAAATGCTGTTCATGCCTTATATCTGAAAGGCTTGCCAAAGCCGCTGTGAAAGGCTCGTTTCGCGCACATGTTGGCGATATGTCTGGCATTGCTTGGTTGACCTGTGTAAGATATACCTATGTATATATATATATAATGTTTGTATAGTCTCCAGATTTGCAAATCCGCTCTGCTCTTGTGAGGGGACGAGAGGGTCCGGCTCACTTCATTCCCTCTGATCCGCTGCTTTTTTTTCAGATGCGACCATTCCAAGTGGATGTGGCTTTTTGAGGGTACCATTTTTGGGGTTGGTGAAAAGGGAAACCAAAAGGAGGCCACTCAGTCTTTGGTGGGGGGAGCTAGCTAGCCCTATTTTGACTGGCTTCCTTTGACTTTACGACGGCTGCCAGCCTCCTCAGCCGATTCTTTTTGCCTAAATGTGTGTTCCAGGCTCGGTCGACTCCTCCTCCTGCTTTTCCTCTCCTGAGCCAAGCGAGCCTTGCCTGGCAACGGTGAAGGATGAACGATGTCTCCATGCAATCTGACAAGCAGACACATGAAGCTGATCAAACATCAACTTGGAAGGACGCAGCAATCTAAACAGCTTGCTGGTTGGCATTCTCGAATCATTGAGTCATGTGTGTCATGGGTCAGGATTTGTCCATCTATAGTATGAGGTAGATTCGGCATAGATCATTCTAAGAAAGCAATATAGCCTACCGAGGGTAACACAGGACTTGGAGTGTCTTAAAATAGGGGACCGCTCCAAAAAAACATCGTGGTTTCGCGTGTGTTTCCTTAAAATGAGCCTGCCCTATGATTGTTTTTTTCATGCAGGATATGTGTAATTTTCCGAGATTCCGATGGGCCTTAGGATGCTGGCTTCCTCATCCAATTGCTCCAATTGCCGCCGACACGCTTCTGTGCTCAAAGCCAACAACGGCTCAGGACGCTCAAAGCGGCCTCATTTTGTTGGCCTCATTTTGTTTCATCGGGCCGACTTTTCTCGGCCCCCGGGGGCGTCGTAGCTTGCACTTTTCGCCTCGTCTCGCTTATCACAACCTGAAAGGGTGCACAGAAGATGTCGAAGGCTGGAAGGGGGGAGGATGCCCCAGTGCCAGATCTGGCGAATTCTAACATTATTTCTGGTGGATGGCATTGCTTTGCATTTGCCACTCGATTCCTGCTTGCTTTGGCATGCGACGTGTCGTGGAGGCACAACAACTGTCTTCCAAGGACTGCCCCTCTTGATCTTGGTACATCGATTTAAAGCATCGAGCCGTCGGGGATATCATGGTAAAGACTCTGGCTTCCTTCTGTGTGAATTCGTCGAAATCAGCATTGCTGAATGGAACATCCAGCCATTTCTTGTTTGTTTAAACCATCCAGAAAGGGCGTGAAGCAAATGCCGGTGCTTTTCCATTTGAGCCTTAGACGTCTGCTGAAACTAGCGGTCAGCAATTGACCACTGCAGACTGGTACACCAGGACATGTGGGGAGTTGATCCACATCCCAAAACGCCAGAGGTCCCTGATATCTGCGCTTAGCAACCCCAACGGCCCTGAACTGTGGTTTTGTTCCACGTTGAGGCAGGTTACCAGTTACCGTGATTGCCAGTGTCATCAAGGCCTCTTTGCTTGTCTTTGCGGCTTCCGGCTTATGGACCCTCATGTAGCTCTGCAAGGGGGCCCCACTCGCTTTTCCGCGGCTCAGATGCCGTGCACCCCCGGTTTTGGTGGCCAGCTTCCTGTAGAATTTCCGGAAGTTGCAGTGGTTTGTTATACTCACTTGCCCAACAGCCGACCTTTCAAAACCTCTTGGTTTCCCCTTTTTGGTCCATTTGTAGTCATGGCACCCAAAGTTTTGCTTTTCTCCAGTCTTTTTTTTCAGTTGCTGGGTCCTTTGGTCAGGTGAGTATAGACACTTCAACCTCGTTTCGAGCCCCAAACCGCCCGAGATCTTGGAGTCCGCGCTCAAGAACCCGCGCCAGCGCAACCTGGACGATGACATCAGGCGCGCGGCGCGCGGTGCGTGGCGGGCTTCGGATCTTTTACGAACGCGGGGGGTTTTGGAGTGCAACCCCCTTGGTCTTAAGGGGATTTATGAACCCTTGGTGGATTTTGCTCGGGTGTCCCATGTTAGAGAGGGAATTCACTTTTGCCCTCTTTATATTCACCAGGTTCGACTTAGGAATCGAAGTTGCCACGTTTCTGGAACCTGGCTGCCTCTTCCTTGCACCATGCAAAAGAGGGGGTTCCCTTTCTTGAGACAGACCCTAAGTTCCACCCAACCGTGAAGGTTTCCCTCTAAGTAAAATTAGCCAGGGGTTTATAGATCCCATTGAGGCCAGGAAAATGTTGCACTCCGACCCCCGGCCTGCAGCTGCGCCTGAAGGGGCACAGCAGGCTGCTGTTCAAAAGCTCCACTGGATATGTGTTTGGTGCTGACCGCTGACGCATGGTCTGGCCAAGGGTGAGGTGAGCAGAGCGCGGCTTGCAGCCGAGAGACCGAAGGGCCACATGTTTTTTTGTTTTTGCGAACTATTCTTCTCGCTGCCTTGTGAATCAAATGGATTTTTCTCCATGACAGATGGCTCGCGAGTTTTTGATCGCTGAGGGTAGAATCTCTTCATGTGCCGTTTCGAGCGCAACCTGTGAGCGGGGTGTTTGCAGCCTTTCAGGTGGCCTTGGAATGATGTTTGGAGACCTTTCAGGGGTCAAGATGGAGAGCGCTGCGCATATTCCATTCACTGGACTCATTCTTTTGCCATGTGTGCGCAACACCATGTGTATGAGACAATGGACTTTCATGAGTAGTCAACCAGTCCGTAGCCTCCCATCTCTACCATAGAACCTCACTGGTCCAGAATTCCTAGACCATTTTCCTTCAAAAAGGACCCCTGGTGGGTTTCCGGGACCGGAAGTCACCACTTGCCCGTCGAGGCTCATGGCCGGCAGCATGCTCACCTACAGCAGCCTGATGAACAACAACCAAGAGGGCATGGAGACGCAGGTGGGCGGGCGGGCGAGCAACAGGCAATGCCAGGAGGACTGTGGCTCAAAAAACCGGTACCAGAAAAAAAACCCTGGTAAGTGGACACATGGACAAAAACCTGCGTAAGCCCCTCATGTTTAATTTGAGCCACACTGATGTGGGTCGAATCATTTTGACCCCATGTACGTGGGCATAACAAATCCACTTAGTAATAATTCTCAACTTGAGTGATTGAGACATTTTGCGATGGAGGTTGCAATCATGCCTTTCCAGCAGAATCATTTCCATGACCCTGGTTTGCTTGGGCTGGGAGGGGCTTTCGGGGTTTCTCAGCATACTCCTGAAATCTGCAAGGTCTCCCCGATACCAACCACATGAATCTCCCTTTGAATACCAGCCTGAGTGGGTCCCGGGGTAGCTCCGAAGTTCTTTGTGGGTCACTTCGGCGCCCTTCCTTGCATGAAATCGCCCCCTCGGAGATGGCACGATCTTTTCCAAAACATTGGCCAAGACCATTTTTGGGGTACCCGGAGAAGTGCAAAGGTATGCGTGCAACCGCCGAACATGGATTTTGTTTTTACGTTTTTTTGGGGGGGTTCCCTGCAAGCAAATCCCAAAATGGCTGCCAGAGTCGTACCTCTTGCTGGAGAGAGCCCTTCTGCACAGCCGCCATCTTTGGGAGATTTGGGTGTGGCTCAATTTTTTTATCGATCGGAGGGGCAAACCGCAGGTTTCCACTTCCCAGGGCTTGCGCCAGTTTGGAATACCGGTTTTGTGAGTATTATTATTATTATTATTATTATTATTATTATTATTATTATTATTTCAAATTTATTTTGTTTGGTTGCCACAGCCGGAAATTTTTGGTCAGGCGGTGACGATCGTGGCGCGGCAGCAGCGATCGAAGCTGTTGGGCTGCTTGATGCTGCCGTTGGCCTTCATGTACTTCATCCTGCGCCTGGGTCGAAATGATGTCCGGGGCCGATTTGTTTTGTGGCTGTGGGTGGTCAAAACCGTTTTGGGGGCCTGGTGAATTCACCACCCATTTTAGAACCGATTTTAGTGGGAATTGGGATGTTCACTGGGGGTACGGACTTTTGACCCATGGCATTATTCCCCAACAGCTGAAAGCCAAGGGGTCTCAGCCCAGATGAGGTTTGGGGGCGGCTCGGGAGAGCTCTGAAGTCAGGTTCGAGCAAGGGTCCGGTGGGCTGGCGCAGGCCAGGTGTAAGGTTCAAGACCAGACCAGGTGTAAGGCTGCAGCCAGGTTCCGGGCAGTCTGGCGCAGGCCAGGTGTTCGGAGGCGGCTGCAACCGGGTTCTAGGAAGGTTCCGAGGTGGTCCGGAACGGCTCTGAGCGAGGGTTCCGGGGATGCACGGGGCGGTTCCGAGGAGGGATATGGCATTAAATCAAAATGAAGCGAATCACACACTTCGTGTCCAATCCGTACGCTGAATAGCACCGAACCTTTGCAAGGGATATACCAGTGTACCTTCCGCATTTGTTGAACCCATACGGGTGTGGTGCTGTTGGGGGTATCACCTGAGCTTGTTTGTTTTGCGGGGCTCAAGACTTCGAGAGCCATTTGGCCCTGGGTCAAGACCAATGGTACCATTTTGGGGTGGGTGAATTCACCACCCATCTTAGAACCTATTTTAGTGGTTGGATTGGGATGTTCACTGGGGGTACGATTTGGATTTTGACCCATAGCCATTTTCCTGGATGGTTCTACCTGGCTTATGGCTTAGGTTTTCGTGCTGCTCAATTTGGGCCAGAGATTTTAAGAGCGAACCACCCCAAAAGTGGCAGGCGGCCATGAATTACCCCCGAATTCGGCGCAGGGCTCCTTAAAAGATACATTTTGCCCATATGAAACATGTTGCTTTTTCCACCAAAACAAAGGGAAACAATGTTCACGTGTATAATGTGAGGATCCCTGTTCTGATGTCCCCCATGTTGGGCCCCGAATAAAATTCGCACCAGTCTGAGGTTCGGACGAAAATTCCAAGGTAGTCTATGCTTCTTAGGGAGGGACATGAGGGAGCCCTCTAACAGTCTGGGCAAGCGTCTCTCGCTATTGACCGCCGCGGGCCTTGCTGTAAATCGCTAAGCTGGGTGTCACGGTTCGGCAGATCCAAATGGCAACCGTGAACCATGGCCCTGATGGATATGCCTCATGCCCTTAATGGTCATGATCGTTTCTCCCCCAAGTTTGGCGTGGACGGTCTTTTGTTTTTGAAATATGGAGTAGGAGAAAGCCGGTGGCTCTCCAGCGGTTGACGGATCCCGTTTTAGACGAGATAAGAAGTGAACGTTTCATCCGTACCATGTGCAGACAGTGGCGAAGCCCCAAATTTTCCGTGGCTGAGTCGAAGCCAAGCATCCGTTCGGGTTGCCAATCCATCATGGCCCCAGGTTTTCTGCCTCCATCATGCTGCACGAGGAGGGACGATGGGGATTCGGGCGTTTCCGTCTGCTTGGACAAATAAGGATGTGTCGTTTTTATGGGACCCCCAAAATGCCATCGGTTTTTGTTTCGGTTCCCATTAAGACCCCAAACAAAGACCCTTCATACAACTTGTCAATACCTTAACAATCCAATTCAAGCCTTCAAGAAGGTAGGTTGTTTTTTGACAACCACCCACTTTGGGGTTTTCTTTCCAATAGGCTGCAAAAAAAACCCGGCAGTTGACGTGAGTTGATTGCTTTGCCAGAGAAGCCTCAAGCTTAATGTTGACCCATGATTAATAAACCCGTCCCATTATTAGGGGGTGTTCTCTCCCAAAGTGAATCCAACCACTAAAAGGAATTGGACACCCCCCACTCAAAGTCAACCAGGGGTTCTGCTTCATCCGGGGTTAACATATGGCCCAACGTTGGAGCTTCCGGCTTCTGAGGCCCAGCCCGGAATCTCGGAGGGATGGGCGGCAAATTTCTGAAATTTGCGCATGGGTTCTGCAAATGTTTTTTCTGCCGGAGGGTCGAGTAAGATGCGGCTCAAAAATTGAGTTTGATGGTGGTAGGCCTTCTTTTTTTTGTCCCTGTGGACTCGGGCAGGTAGGGGCGGCTATGGGTAAACCCAGCCTTGACTCGACTGCAGTACTTGCTTCATGGCAACAGTCGATATGGTGTCCAAATAGGGGCACCCTCAAAATTTGGGCAACGGTTTGCTTTTGGCTTGTAAAGGATACGAAACAAAGTCACACGGCCAAATCTACTGTCGAGAACCATCTGCGGTCAAGGGGGCAACATGCTGCATACAAGCCCCTAAAGTCCTTCAAGAACTAGGAGGTCAAAATCTGAGGAAAGTTGGGACAAGCCGTTTTTGGTGCACCTAGGTTAGGTGGCAAGGCTCCCTACTAAACTTGTGGGTGTGTAGGAGTCAGGAGCCACCCCGAGGGAGGAGACAAATGACCAGCTGAGTTTGTTCGTTTGCCATCAGCTCCGGGCTAGGGTGAAATTTTCCGGCGGCGAAGGTTCCTTTTCCTAGCGATTCCCAAGGAACGCAGGATATTGTTGGGATCATGCTCGGAGAGAAGATTAGAAGGAGCATATTGCAAGCCAAGCAGATGAGGCTGATGGCAATTGGGGCGTCAAAACAGTGCAGTGTCCTGCTAGGACATTTCAGATGTCTACATGATCGAGTCAGAGATGCGCTCACAGATGGATGACATATTCTCGGAGGTGGAGAGCATTGATGGTCTTTGGGCCGCTCGGCAAGATAACACTTTGGTGCATGTTGCTTGGCTGTTAGGACTTTAACTTTTTGCCAACTAGTGGGTTTCCCATTAAACCACTAAAAGTTCCAACTTTTACAAGGGGAGCAGAAAGCAACCGAGAACATCTGTTGCTTCGTCACCAGCTGCTGCCAGCCTTAGAGAGCTCAGGCCTAGGTGCGAGGAGGGGAGCAATTGCTCTTCACATGGAACGGACCCCAACTTCGCCCATGTGGGTCAAAACCAATGGAAACGTTTTGGGGTAGGTGAATTCACCACCCATTTTAGAGCCTATTTTAGTGGTTGGATTGAATCGGATGTTCACTGTGGGATCACCGGGCTTTTGAAAAGCCCCTGGCCATATGGCAGTGGCTCAAAAAACCGGTACCAAAATGGAACCCTGGTAAGTGGACACATATACCAACACCTGCGTAACCCCTCCTGTTTAATTTTGAGCCACCCCCATATGGCAACGCCCCGAAAACGCCATGCGAGGGTCCTCTTCAGGTTCCGCGGTCGATCCCTCGTGGATTTTTGGTTGGTCGTTTTCCTGTTGCCCAGTGCAGAGAGAGTTGCTTCGGCTTCTTCTCGGGGTGGTCAAAATTGGCTTCGACTTTTGGGGAATCTCTTACAAAAGGTGGCGCCCTGGCGGCACCATCGTCCAAAAAGAGGCCAGAATGGGACCATCTTCCAAAAAGAGGCCAGAATGGGACCATCTTCCAAAAAGAGGCCGGAAAGGGTAGGCTTGAGAAGCCTTCTCCCTTCTTGACTTCAAGCGCTCAAGATGGTTCTGGCAGGCTCTGTCTGTTTTGAGACCCTTTTTGGATGGTTTCAAAGGAGAAGCCCGAGGGAACACCCCAGCCTGGTTCCGATTACCAAATTTCAAGAAAAGCCAAAAGGAAAACCAAAGGTAGACACCAAAAGGTAGACACCAGGTAGACAACGAAAGGTAGACACCAAAAGGTAGACACCAACAGATAGAACCCAAACATATTTTTTAGGAAGACCCCAAAGGGTTTCCCATTCTGGTTCCGATTCCTTGAGACGCATGGGAATGTGGCTCAAAGAGCCCAGAAAGCCGATACCAATGAGCAGACGTTTGACCCATGCGGAAGCCCTCGTATGTTCAGCTTTTCGTCCCTTTCCATGCCAGCATTGTCCCGTTTTTTCTTTTGAGGTTCTCGTTTTCTCGCCTCTTCCAGGGATTTCCCCGTTTTCATGCGCAGTGGTCGTTTTTCTTCTCCGCAGGTAGGCAGGTATGTAGGTAGACGAGTAGACTCGTAGACTGGTAGCCAGGTACACAGGTGGGCAGGTGAACTGGCTACCCCCGCATCAAGCCCCAACCCGCCCTTCCCCTTGGTAGGTGCTTGGGTGTTCAGCCAAGTCAGTGGGTTGTTAGTAACCTAGGTTATAGCCCACTTATTTCACAAAGTATTCATGGTTTTATTCTCCCCGGCGTTGGCCACGTACTAGCTTGAACATCCAAGTAACAAAACAAGGGTGCCCCTTTTCCCCGTCCACTGGGCGTCCGCGAGGTTTCCCTTCTTGTGCCAGTTGACTGAGGCGTCTACCCTTGGTATGTAGGCAGCCAGGCGGGCTCTCCTTATCAGAATTCCTTCCCTGAAAATTCCCACCGAGGATGCGCTGCAGGGGCCCTTTGCCGAGGTCTTCTTCAAGCAAACGGCGGCTCGCTCGCGCTTTTCTTTTTTTTTTGTTTGGATCGATCCGGTGGACTCGAATGGACTCCGCGTTGAGCTGGGCTTAAAGGGCGGCCAACGGAAAACCACCTGGGTTTTGAGAGGTCCAAATCCCAACAATTAAGAACAGATCCAAATGCGTATGGGTCAAAATTAAACCACCAGGGGACCGCAGGTTTTAGTTCATGTTTCCATTTACCAGGGTTCCATTTTGGGTACCTATTCTTGACCCACGGGCAAATGAGTCACATGGGATTTTGGTCGGACGCCCAAAACCCGAATGTGAGGCGACGATCATTTGCCCAGACCTTCAAAATCGGTTTGCTTTTTTCAGGGACTCCGCAAAATGTTGGTTTGTTTTGGTTCCTTTGGACCCACAAAACAAGGGTTGCCGACGCCATTTTTTTAAAACATCTGAGAAGCGGTTTGCTGCCCTTTGACTCGTTGGGGGTACGCTCCTGAATGCCAAAGGCAATATAGTTTAAATTGAGATTTGAACCCCTGGTTCCTGTAGAGGATAAATGGGAACCCCCTCCTCCACCAAATCACCGGGCTCCAAACCACCAATTGGAGAGAAGCTGTATATTCCCCATTTGAGCGGCTACCTTCGGTTGCAACATGGCCAGGTTCAACTCCACAGCCCCATGAAGCCCTCGTAGCCAGCTCCACAGGGGTGAACCATCTCAGCGATGAAGGTCCCTCACCTTGGGATTCCAGATTCCTTTTCCCGCATCGGTTGTCTGCAGATGACTCCCAACTCGTGATTTTCTTTTTCTCCCCTTGACCCATTCCCTCCAAACCGATACCATGGCTGCCGCGGTTCGGGGGCCAAACGCACCAGAGAAGGAGTGATTGCCACGGGCGGATGGATGCCGGGATGCTCCCACCAGACTTCCTTTATGCCGGTTGGGCGGGTGCACCGGAGAGGGATTCAGAGGAGCAGAGATGCAGGTTCACCTCCGCCGATTCATGATGATTTCTCATATTTGTGGCATGCGTCATATATGTACATACCTGGAGATTGAGGTTCGAAGATGCACATGTTGCATGGCTTTTGGCATGTTGGATTGTTGGATTCTGTCAGATGAGAGCCGGTGAGTGGAGACCTACAAGGGTAATACAGGGCTCCTTAAAAAGTACATTTTGCCCATTTGAAACATGGCTTTTTCCACCAAAATAAAGGGACATCACCATTTACAAGGCAATGCTCAGGTGTATAATGCATCCGGATCCCTGTAATACACCGGCTCATTACGCGTACGCGCGCACCGGCACTGACCCGCCACGCCGGCACTCCACGCCGAACCCGCAAGCAACGGAAGCAGCATGGCAGTGGGCAACACACGTGAAGCACTTGAGACGCGGTGCGGTGCCCTTGAAAGGATGGAGTGAGTTTGGCTGAAAGTCCATGGTCCACAGTTTTTAGAGCAAACCATTTCGACAAGGGCACTTCCCCTTTTCAGATTCCCTTGAACATGCCCTTTGATTCCTTCATTCGGGTGTGTCTTGTTTTTCGTATTCGCCCCAAAAATTAGGTTTTTTTCTCTCCTTTTTAATGATTTGCTTAGCACCGGCCAAAAAGGCCACGCAAACCGGCCGAGGACATGTACAACCGGCCCTTGGCGAAGAGCACCAGCAACGAGAATTGGGGCGACTGGGGCCGCGTGAATGTCTACCACCAGATCCAAGGCGCGCGGAGCACAGCCAGCCGCGGGTGTGAAGTCGTTTTCTTCTTCTTCTTCTATTTTTTCTTTAGATGGTTGCCAGAAGCGTCCTACACCAACTGTGGATGAACGACATTTATTTCGCACCACCGTTCAGAGGCCCTGGTTTTACAGGATCCCCCTGTAAATACCAACAAACGGAGGTTTCAACCATGGTTTCCAACTGGTGCAGGTTTTTGTCCATCAACTATATCTCCATATATTCGAATATGTGTGCGTGGATGTATGTTGTACAGCATGATCGAGAAGGGATGAAGACAAAGGAGCATGCTAAGTTTGTGGAAGCAAACCATGGCCACCTTAAAGGAGCACGCTTAAACCATGGCCTGAACGGTTGAATGGACTGGATTGGGCAACTCTGAGTTGCAGCTGCAGACATTGGCACACGGCAGCTAGGAATTGTCGTACTTGCTCCCGGCTATTTGGGAGGGGCTAGTGGTCACTCACCACTAGCTGCTGGCTTTCTGAGGCCCTTTGCTTCTTGATCGTGCTTGGTTTGTTCTCCTACCTTGTTCTAATGCTGAATTGAATGGAGGGTTGTTCTTTGTGAGACAAATCTGCACGTTTAGACAACCATTTCACCCTTTGGCAAAGGAAGGCATTCACGATATAATGTATATATATATATATATATTGTGCTCAGATCTTACCAACTGACGAGCAAACCGCTTTTCGCAAACGCCAGGCGCAGTGCGCTTTCAGCAAACTCGCCGCGCTCCGAGCCGGGAGGGCGAAAGCGCGAATCCGGAGAGTGGTTCCGAAAACGGATGTGGGGGTAAGACGCGGGATTCCGCCCATGTAGGTGCTTTACTTGGGGATCCCCCCAATTTCAGGGATCGCGACATGTCGTTTCCCACCTCGACTATCTAGTTTGATATTCCCTGCCGACTTCAGTCGTCACCTTTAACCCCATGAGATGAGGCGCGGATTTCAAGTTCAAGCGGAAGCTAGCCAGAGATGCATGCGGCCAGAGGATGGCTATTTCGAGCTTCCCTTCAATTGGTGGTTTGGATGTGTTCCGGGGATGGTTGACAAGAACCCGGGGTTCAAATCCAAATCCAACCCAATGCAAGCCACCAATTGGTGGGGGCTCTGAATGTTTAGCCCTGAGCCCCCTCTCGCCGGCCCGGCCCACGTCTCTTTCTCTGAGGCCGCAATGCAAGGAACTTTGGCAAGCAGTTCGTCTGCAACAGCGTCATCTCCTGTCGCCCGGCTTGTTTTGGCATAGGCACAAGCTGCCATGTCGGTGTGTTTTTTAGGGGACTCCCGCTGGCCCGCCTATATATATATACACATATATATATATATATATGTACACAATGGTGGTTCTCCTCTTGGTTTTAAAACCACCGAAAGGGGCCTCAACAAAAAGGGGCCTCTTGTGGAGCCTCCAGAAGTGGCAGTTTGAAGGGACACCAGGTTGCAACTGTTGCAGGGGAAATCCTCCCCCCCCCTGTTACTCAGTACCTTTGGAATAGCTTCGTGTTATCAACAAGCAGGACCGTGAAACGATCTCCAAACCATTTCAATGCTTCGCAACGGCCATAACTTATTGGGGCTCCCTCCCCCCCCCCTTCCCCCCCAGCCCCCATGAGCTACGGTTGCCGTTACGGGCACACGGTTACGCAGCGCCATGCAAGACGAGAAAGGCGTAAGGTGCTGCGATCAGATCCGTAACAGTTAGGGAGCCCCTCACATCTACGAAGTCTTTGCTTTGCTTTCGCCATCGGCGAAAGTGCTGGAAGGTAATGTTGACCCATGATTAATAAACCCGTCCCATTCTTAGGGGGGTGTTCCCTCCAAAAGTGGTCTGAATCTCCACTAAAAGGGGACCTCCCCTATTAATCAACCAGGGGTTCATTAATCCGGGGTTAACATTAGCTTCTTCAGGTAAGCTGGCTCAAAACCCAGGTAGAGGAAGTTGCCATAAATGGGGGTCTTCGCCATGTGTTTTTCTTTTCTTTTTCTCTTGAAGCATGGTTCTGGGGATCGACCATGTTAATTTGGTACCCCCCTTTACAAGACATCTTGACCGTTCCAATGTTGCAAAACACTCCCGGCCGACGATTGGGCAAGGCACAGACACTTGAATCCGTTTTGACCAGACGTTGAGGTTTCGATTTTGACTGGGTATTGTCTGCAAGGGCTTCGTTTGCGAAGAAGGGTGAGGAAAGAGCCCGGATATGTTCACTGCAGCTGGGTTCACTTGGGTTCTGCTTTGGGTTCTGCCAGAGAGTCCTTTATCCAACCATACTGTGGATGGACGAAATCTTTCAACACCTAAAATCCCTGGCGTGATGCGTCCCCTGTAAATACCAACCAACAATGGCTTGCTATAGTTTCAAAGTGGTGCAGGATTTCGTCCACCCGCAGTATGGAAGTGGGCAGGGGTGTCCAGGACCCAAAAGGGATTTCTTTGTCTTCCTTCCCCAGAATTAGCTCCCCTTTTTCACTTTTTGCTTTTTTGGGGTCCCCTTTGTTTTGTACTAACCAGGCGCAAAATGTATTTTTTTGCTGGGGTCCTAATTCCAGCCAAGCTTCCAAGCCCCTCCTTTTTTCAAACTTCCATTGCAGAGACGGCAGCCCAACTTCGGGTCGCCATTTTCCCAGCCGTGACTTTCGTCATGCCGGGTGCCCCCCAGAAATGAATGGGTCGCAATCCCTGTTTCGGCCACTAGATTGCGTCCAGAAGAAGCAGATTCGCATCTTTGCTCATGTTGACATTTGATGTTGATCTGAGTTTTGGATTGATTCCTCTGGCTTTTGAGGTTCCATGTTAACCCCGCCCCAAACCCCCCCCCAATCCCCCCCAAAACCCCAAAACACGCCCCTTGCGCCAGCCTCCGCACCTCCGCCGCACACGCCGCGCCCGCTCTCGAGGCTTCCTCTGCCGCTCCAACCGGGGCTTCCAGCCGGCGGCCAACGCGCCCGCGGGCGCGGAGGTGGCCTCCATCGATTGCCCCTCGGCCCCGGAAATTCCCCGACGCGAGCCGAGCGGGCGGGTTGGGCGAGCGGAGGTTTCGCGCTGCGAAAAGTTTAACTTTAGAGCGTCCGGCTCAGTCCGCCGACGTTGTCCTCTCCCTCTTCTCCTTCTTCCTCTCTCCCTTGTCTCCTCCCCCGCGTGTTCTGTCGTCCTCTCTCCCTCCCTTTGCTCCCCATCCTCCCCATCCCCCCAAGCCTCTCTCTCCTCAATCTCCCTGTCTCTGTCTCTATCTCTCTATCTCTCTATCTCTCTTTCTCTCTCTCTCGCTCTCTCTCTCTCTCTCTCTCTCTCTCTCTCTCTGTGTCTCTCTCTCTCTCCGTGTCTCTGTCTCTGTCTCTGTCTCTGTCTCTCTCTCTCTCTCTCTTTCTCTCTCTCTCTCCGTGTCTCTGTCTCTTTCTGTCTCCCTGTCTCCTTCCTGTCCACGCCCCTCTACAAAAAAAGGGCACCCTTATTCTAACCTCTCTACTGGAGGACCTAGGCTCTCTCTCTCTCTCTCTCTTTCTTTCTTTCTTTCTTTCTTTCTTTCTCTCTCTCTCTCTCTCTTTCTCGCTCTTTCTCTCCTTCTCTCTCTCTCTCTCTTTCTTTCTGTGTCTCTCTCTCTCTCCCCCTGTGTCTCTGTCTCTCTGTCTCTCTCTCTCTCTTTTTGTCTGTCTCTTTCTCTGTCTCTTTCTCTGACTCTGGCTCTGTCTCTGTCTCTCTGTCTCTCTCTGTCTCTCTCTCTCTCTCTCTCTCTCTCCCGCTCTCTCCCGCTCTCTCTCTCTCTCTCTCTCTCTCTCTCTCTCTCTCTCTCTCTCTCTCTCTCTCTCTCTCGTTAAAATACGTTGGTACTTTACTGCTAGTGCAAGTGTTGTTTCTGTTGTCACAAACACAAATGTAGTTAGCCAGCATGCACTCTTTTCCTGGTAGACTCAAGGCCTGCAGTCGGGTAGTGTACATCATGCATGCACAAGTGACAAGTAGTGCAACATGATATTTGACACGGCCCCTTGGTTAAAAGACCTTGTAGTGTCCTTTAACCATAGACCCAAAAGGTGGTATTGACAGTAGTGGCAAAAACGAATGCACATGTTGTTTGCCGATGCTACTGTAGCGAACAGGCATGTAGTCTCTTAAAGAAGGTGACCGAAGGTAGGTATCCACAGCGCTGCTGTCTGTAGTTCAACTAACCTTCAAATGATCAAAAAGTGAAATTGCTGTACAAGAACCCTCAGTCATCTCGTAGTACGATGACGTAGTACAGCACGTAGTTGCAGCTCCACCTAGAGATCAGGTGTGCTTAGTCCAGTGTTGGACTCGGTAGTTCTGGACTTGGCTGATGCGGTAGTCCAAGCCTGCATAGTGGTTGGTAGTGAATGTGTTGAGGAAGTCTGGACCGCCACGGAGGCGGTTGTAGTCGCATTCTGGTGGTGCAAGTGCTTGGCCGGTTGTAGTGAGGTAGTTGTGGAGTGGTAGTTTGTGTTGTGTGGAAAGATTTGTAGCCGTGAGGAGGGTGATGCCGTAGTAGGTGACACTTTTGTGTAGCATCGTGTTGATGGACTTGTAGTGGTGGTCTTGAAGTTGTTGTGGTTGGTCGAAGTAGTTGAGTAGTTCTGGTAGGTACAGGGGCATGTGGTAGTTCCGAGTGAAGTTGTTGGACAGGTTGAATGTAATTAGTGGTGATCTGGTCCAAGTTGTAGGTGATTCGGTGTAGTCGTTGATGTAGCTGGCGTGTAGGTAGGTGGTGCTCGTCTTTGATTGAGATCATGTGGCTCACGTAGTCGCGGCAGAAGTTGATGAGTTGTCCAGCACTGACAAATCGTAGTAGAACTTCTGGTGGAATGTGTAGTTGGATGATGACCATCGAGTTGGTGTACTGAGTTGTGAGGTGTAGTGATGTTAGGTTGTAGTAGTAGAAGTTGACTGCCTCTGAAAGACGTAGGTGAAGAGGTAGTGAGTCGTAGTGTGGCATCCGTAGGTCTGAAGGTAGGTTGTGAACTGGTAGGTTGTAGTTGAGCTCGGGGATGGGTGTAGTTTGTTGTTGACTTAGTAGTTGGAACTCCTCGAGCGTCAAAGCCACGTAGACCCTGAAGTAGTTCTGCTCCGGGTCGATCGCTGGAGTGTCAGGGATGTTGCTCTCAATTGTAGTGAGGTGTGCCAAGATGTCGTCGGGTCTGTAGAAAGGTGCCGGTGTGGGTAGTTGGTGATTGAAGTTGTAGTTGAGGGAGTTGTAGGCCTCAGGTGGTGGTGTGGCCAAATAGCCATGCTGCTGGAGTCGGTAGTGCCCTGCCGATCCGGTGGTGTGAAAACACGGTCCGGTGTAGTACTGCCAGCCTGTTGTTCGACGGGCAGAGTAGTCTCTGGCGCTGATGTAGTAACCTCCATCGGCATGACATCCAGCGTAGTCGCATCCATGGGCGTAGTTCCAGCCATTGCTGGTAGTTCGGCCTATCGAGATGCAGTGAAACGGGGCAGACAGTAGTGAGCCAATGTTAGCTCACAAAAGCACATGCGGGCATGTAGTAAAACACAAAACAACATGTAGTGTTGACTCAAGCCGCCAAAAGCCGCCAAAAGTGCAAGTGCAAATTACTGGTGGTTACAATTACTATTACTTGTAGTCACTGTTACTGTTACTGTTACTTAAATGCAGGTAGTTACATATGGCCATATACAAACTGTTGTGGTTGATGTGCAACAGTTGTGAAACAGTTGTTGTTCGTAGTGCTAAACACGTATGCCAATGCTCTGTATGAGCCTCTGTAGTGTTTCTTTGCTAATGTATTTTGTGAACAAGTCTGAGCTGTTGTGTAGTGTGTTGATTTTGAGGATTCTGATGATGTCGTGCTTGATGAGGTCTTGTGTGTAGAGAAATTTAAGGTCGATGTGTTTTGCTCGTTTGCTAGTGCCTTGTCGTGTAGCAATGCTCTTGCCTGCTGTGGAGTCTGTGTGGATGCGTAGGTTTAGCTTGCTGCAAATGTTGGTTTCAAGTAGGAAGTTTCTGAGGTGTAGTCCCTCATTAACTCCTGTGCAAATGGCGTAGAGTTCAGACTCTGCTGAGCTGAGTGCTATTGTAGCTTGTGTTCTGCTGCCAAATGCAACTGTTGTTCCTAAAAAGATGATGTTGAAACCTGAAGTTGATTTCCTGGTAGTAGGGCATCCTGCCCAGTCGGCATCGACATGAACGTCGAGATCCAGGATGTTGTTGGTGTTTGCTCTGAGTGTTGTTGTTGGTTCTATGGTGAATTTGTAGTGCTTGGTGCCGTGCAAGTAGCGTAGTAGATGTTTGACTCTCTTTTGTGAAAGTTCTGTAGGTGCTGTGAGGTCTCGTGCTAGTTCTTTTGTGGAGTATGCAATGTCTGGTCGTGTGTATGCTAACCATTGAAGTTTGCCAACAATCCTTCTGTACCTTTTGTGTTGTTCGTGGTCAAGTAGTGCTTCATCTTCTATTGTTGGTTTGTAGTGTGCAATTCCTGGAGTGTTCACTGAGTTGCAGTTGTTCATTCCAGACTCCTCGATCATGTTGTCGATGTAGGAGTCCTTTAGTCCCAAGTTGCAGTAGTTGCCAAAGTGGTCGATGTTTCTTCCAAGAAATTGTTGTGGTTTGCCAGGTTCGAGGTAGCCGATGTGCTTGAGTAGGACCTGCTTCTGGATGGCCTCGAAGGTGGAGTCGACAGTAGTCTTGTCACCAAGTACCAAGAGATCATCCACGTAGACCATGATGTAGCAGTCGCGAGTCGCGTTGGTGTAGACGTTAGGTTCTGACTTTAGTCTTACAAAGCTGAGTTTTTGTAACACTTCAGCCAGGTAGTCCTGCCATGCTTTTGGTGAACTGCGTAGTCCATACATGGCTTTCTTTAGTCGCCAGATTTTGTCCTGTTGTGGACAAAGTTCTTTAGGTGGCCAAAGGTAGACGTCACGTTGTTTACCGTCGTGGTCTTTTGCGATGGGTGCGTGTAGAAATGCTGTAGAGACGTCACCTAGTCGCGCGATCCAGTTTGGTCGTGACATTTGTAGTGCGAGAAGTGTCCGGAGTGTCGTGAACATTGGTGTAGAGGCGTAGACGGAGTCTTCGTCCTCGATCTTCTCGGTGTAGCCTTTTGCGACGATTCGGCTTCGTACTCCTGGTCCTTTCTTTCTGTGTACCCATCTTGTAGGTATCGCTTCTCTGATGACGTTGTCGTCGACGGTAGACGCATCTACTTCGTCGTAGACGTCATGTAGCTTCATTTGATTTGACTCGTGTTTCATTCCTTCCAGTAGTTGTGTTTCGTCGTAACCTTCGTTGTCGAAGATTATGGGTTGGTCTTCTGAGGTGTCGTCGTTTGTGTAGGGTGTGATGAATTTGCCGTTGGGAAGTGTCACTGCGTTAATTTTCTGTCGTAGTGGTGGTGGTTCTTTGGTTGCTTGCTCCGTTGATCTGATTGTAGTGTCCTTTGAGGTCTTCTGTGCTTTAGTGGGTTGCATTACTTCTTCCGGAGTTAAACGTCGTAGTGTTTGTCGAGGTGGTGCTGGTAGTGGTGGATGTTGTCGTCCGGTTGGTGAAGTAGCCATCGGACTATCCGGTAGTGGTCGTGAACTTGACGTCGATGTTGACGGAAGTCGTGGAGGTGGTGTGGTGCGTTGTTGTTTTGTTGCGGGTTCCGCAACGATGTCGTCCGTAGCGTTCGTTTGTTGTCCGAAATCTTGCGTGGACCTTCTTTTCTCTGACGGTGGTAGTTGCGCATCCAACAGTGTTGCGAACGATGGGTTGTAGGTGTTCCGTCGTGGTGCCCACGGTGTGCCGGAAACTTTGTTCAATAGTGCGAGGTCGTATTTGAAGTCCGGTTGTAGTCTCCGCACTGTTCGTACCTTTTGTACGCCTGATTCCGTTGCGACGTAGTTTTCTCCGGTTTCGGAAACTTTTCCGAGCCAGATGCATTTCTGCATCCGTAGGTCTGCTTTTGGGAGTTTCTTGTGTTGTGGTGGAAGGTAGAGTAGTGTCTCGCCAAATTCGCAG